GTATTACTACAGCTTTTGTCATGGATTTTGGCAGGGCTATTTTGTTTAGACTCTGGGAAACTATTTCAAAGTATGTCTGTTCAAGTTTGTTCCAAAAGGTGATGTAAAACCTCGCAGTAAGTCCATCCCCTCCAGGAGCACTCCTCTTATTAAGTGAAAATAAAGCTTGTTTGAAGTCGCTCGGTGTAAAACGTGCATTAAGCGAGTCTCTGCATGTGTCGGATAAAGTTGTTAACCCTTTGAATAACCGGGATTCTTAATCCAGATGCCCATCTATTTTATTAAATTTTTCATCATAGTAGTACTTTACTATTGAACAAATTTCTATAGGACGATTCACCAAAACCCCTGATGCATTATAAAGGCTCTTGAGTGGTTTAAACTGCTGAAATAGATTTTTACTCAAGGAAGGTCGATCTGAGTAGAGTACTCCTTCTAATTTATTTTTTTGGAGAATTCTCTCGCTCCTCCTTTTGTACCAGTTTTGGGCATTCTTCAAAATTGTCTTCAAGTCTGTTGTGCTGTGGCGTGAGGGAGAGTTGTCTGCCTGTAATTTTTCAATTTCCCGCTGCAGTTGATTGAGATGTAATCGCTCCGTATTGTCTTTTTGACGCTGATACAATATTACTATGTCGCTCACGTCTATTTTTAAATTATCCCACCAATGCAACAGATTGCAGTCTTGACTCCTGCTGTTAATTTCATGCGATAGGAAGGTATTCATTGTATCTACAAAATTAGGATCGTCCAATAAAAAGTCATCAAATTTCCAATATGGTGCTCGAAAATTGCTCTTTTTTCTGTTCACCCTAAAACAAGTGACAACCGCTAGATGGTCCGAAAAGGAGAGCTTGGTATGGATATCTGTCAGGTTCATGAGCACATTTTGCGAGATATAGTACATTGGAAATCTAGGGATAGTATGTAATTCACACTTACCAACATAGCTATTGATGGGCACAATAGCCAACGCTATCAGGAAAGAGGAAAACAAAACAAAACAAAAAAAAATCATTATAATAATTCCTGTAATTTTATTAAATGGATTTTATTGTGTAAGTGTTTCTTTGGCTTTGCGTTTGGGTTGGATACGAGTGGGTTGTGATAACGTGGTGTGTTTCTGTGAAGAAGGGGTTTTGTGTTTTTTAACTGTGCTAGGACGTGTAACTTTATTGGATGGACCCCCATTATTATTATGGTCGGTGTTTCTTGTGAGAACTCAGGTCTAGCCTGGTTAACTAATCGCACGGATTAAAATCAAGTAACGATCAGTGTCTGTGTCTGTGTCTGGTGAAGTTATGTAGGGTCCTAAAAAAAAAAAAAAATCACACATGGGCACAATAAGCCAACGCTATCAGGAAAGAGGAAAACAAAACAAAACAAAAATCATTATAATAATTCCTGTAATTTTATTAAATGGAGTTTATTGTGTAAGTGTTTCTTTGGCTTTGCGTTTGGGTTGAATACGAGTGGGTTATTATTATTATTATTATTATTATTAGTGAAACAATGTATTTAGGCCTTAAAATGGACAATCATCTAAAGTACCTATAACAAGCATATCGATTATCTTTATGCAAAACTAAAGAAAATTTCAGGTACTTACATTTTACTTGCTTAAAAAAACAACTAACGTAGAGGCATAGTATAATATTATATTATATTATGTACATAGTTTCTAGAGAAATTCATAAATCTAAATATAAATTTACTTCTATCTATTTTGTTCTAAATTGATGTGGATCATGAGAAAAATATTAAAAAATACATGTACACTTTGTACACATTATGCCTTGCATGCAGCAAGTCATTTCACATTGTATGTGCATGTTAAAAAACACAATGTATTAGTTATTAACAACACATCCAAAGTACTTATTACACTTGGGGTCGTTTTAGCCTCCTGTAGAACAAGTTCATTCTTATCGGGAGAATTTTCTTTACGATTTCTCCATGTACAGAGTCTACATGCTATAATAGAAATCCATGAAAATAATTGGATCATTTTGAGTGGTCGTGAGGAGTTTGTGTAGCACCTATTCCTTACTTGTTGTTTATGAATGTATTATAGGCATGCAAATATGATGATTTTTAAAATTGTTCACGATTTCTAACACAATCCTTATAATATGTATAGGTAGGTAGGTACCTATATACGGTATACTTGAAAGCATAAAAATTTTAAGACAAAGAAGTTTTTACAATTTTGTTGGAACCTATAGGTGGTGTTTCGTAGGTAGTAATTCACCTGCCTTTGCATAGGAGATTCTTTACAAATGGACTTCATCCTCAAGCGAGTATTGGATAACTTAAGGTGCTGTGTATTACATAGTATCGTGTCCTCCAATGGTGATAAGTACCTATATTTGAAGTACGAGCTTTTAGACCTTTTTATAATGATAACGTAGTTCGCTGTTTGGACCAAGTGGTAATAAGTGGTCGCTTTAATAGTAGTAGACTATGTGGACATGTAGAAATAAAAGTGGAAGGTAACGAACTAAAACTAACACTTCGCTACCTTCCTAAGCATGAATATGCTTGACGAATCAAGATCTTGAAACCATGATCGCGAAGTAGCCTAAAGAAAGCACCTACTCCGATAAGAAGATCAAGAAATAAAAATGCGGAAGGGAGTACAAGACAAAAGACGCGGTGGAGCTACTGCTTTCCATGTGAGTGAAAGAGGAGCTCTAAGCTGTACCGTGCACGATGCCCTGTGTTCCTTTTAAGAAAGCTTCGAGCTCTGACGCGCCCGAAATTGGATTTCCCCTGTCCCCTCATGCACCACCTATTTGCTTCGGGCTTGAAACACTTTTGTGGTTATTTACGTACTGTGAATGTCAATTCAAAAGTGTGCAAAATGAACAACTTGCAAAATGAGCTGCTCCGAACGAACTGCACGAGAGCTTCACGCACTCAAATGGAAAGTAGTAGACTAGAGCAACAAGGAGAAGAAATCGGAGGGATTACAAACGAGTAGTGAAGCCCCAGAATCGGTACCGGAACCCTTAATAGTATATTAAGTATGGAGAACGGTAAGGGATTTTTACCGTTCGAAGACAATTGTTTGGAGGAGGAGCGGAGCGACGACTCCAATTATTGTCTGAGAACGGTAACCCTTAACGTTCGACGTGCTTATAACATTTTTTGCGCGATCGAAATTAAAATTATGTAACCAATATAAATATGCACTAAGAAATTAACGAGCAGAATAAATCGAAATGATCGAAGTGGTATGGTGTACATCACTGGGTAACCAGTTTATTTGTCAAAATTGAAATTAATAATTTCATAAAATTGTGCATGTGTCTGATGTAGTTTGCTAGCTTTGCACTTCCTTTATGACGTTATGAGCGTCTTTCTATAGGAAACAACAGCACAAATTGTACGTTTAATGTACCTAACAATAATTAAAGATTAAATGTAATGTACTGTTGATTTTTAAAAAGGCGTCGGTAAGTATTTTTGCTGTTCTGTTTTTAGATCGGTAAGTAATTTTGGCGTCGTCGTAATCATAGCAACTGGTAAATGCTACGTACTGTCATGGAAACACACATGGTAAATAGTCAGAAATGACCGATCGCGCAAAAAGAATAATTCTATCTGTGCAGTGCGGAACCGGAACCTATACTCCATAGGGACTCCAACCCTTGATGGTAACTAAGGAAGGTAAAAAATTGACTGGGACACGTCAAACTTAAAATTTAAAAGTAGCATCTTATAGAGGGAAAAAAGTCGCCATGATAATGTATCATTTATTTCGAAATATCTTTTTAAATAACTTCAGTAAAAAATAAAAACGATTTTGCAACGTTTCGGCTTTTTCCGGATATCTCCGAAAGTAGTCGGAATTTCTTAATGTTTCAAAACTGCATTTTGTTAAGCATCAAAATACGCAACTTTGCCAAATTTAAACTACCTATCTATCTTTTACAGTTCCCGAGATCCCCATGGTGGCCCTCGAATTTGAATCACCCTGTATAGTTCATATTTCAGGAAATGCTCAAAATATCAGTATTTTAATAGGATTGTCCTAGTCCTAGAAGTGCAAACTGCATTACTCTATTTCTTTTAATTTTCAAAATATCCCGAAAAACATCAAAAACAAGCAATTTGGAACACCCTGTACAGGGTGGAAATTTCTGGCCGACCATTGCGATCTCCGTAACGGCGAGAGGTACGGGGCCTGTTTTGAGACTAAAAAAGAAGCATTTGAATTTCTTGAAAAATGTTTGAAAATAATTGAGATATCACCGAAAAACTGAAAATGTCAAATTTCGATGTCTTTTACGGTTGGCAATGTTTCCCGCTAACACCTCCGATAGGCAATTTTTTTCGGAGAATTTGAGCCTGTTATTAGAATTTTCATATCCCCCTTAAAGCTAGAAGCTACGGACACCACTACTTTCTTGTTTCTTATGGACGCCATATTGGATTTGTACGGAATTAGGTAGAGGACAAAAAAGAAATTCATTTGAATACATCGCCATGATAGCATACAGCAAGATCTGGTTACCAGTGGATGTTTTGTTGAGAAATGCATGTAAAACATTTGATTTTTACAATTTTGTCTTGTATATCATTCTGTAAAAATCCAATATGGCGCCCGAAAGAAATAAGAAAGTAGTAGCTGTAGCTTCTAAGTACCCCTGGCGTGTTATGAAAATTCTGATAACTTAAATTTTCTAACGAGAATCGCCCATTTCCTACCGTTAAGCTAAAGAAAATCAAAACGGAATTTGACATTTTCAGTTTTTCGCCGATCTTTCAATTTCCAAGGATTTTTCAAAAATTTCAAATGCGTTTTTTTTAGTCACAAAAAGAGGTAATTTTGCCCCCATTTAACCTGCACTGTATCTCTCACTTTTACGGTTATCTGGTGAACCACGAATTTGAACCACGCTGTACATATTCAGCGTGGAGAACCTAAACCGAGCTTTAGATAGATGTACACCCTTCCTTAATCTACAATTTGCTGTCATATGTCATTTTATTGTCAATATACCAATTTTTATTAACGTCACTGCAAAATGCAATACGAACTGTAATTAATAATAGGCAAAGTAATAAAAATCAAATAAAATCATGTAACTGAATGTGCGGTTTAGTAATTCGTGATTCGCACTTTTCGTCATCAAAACCTTTACCAACTCAAATGTTCCGATTACTACCATAGGGCGATCAAAATGAAAAAACTGTTTTACAAAATCGAAACCAAAATTGATAACACTTCTAAGGAAACCAATAACGTTATTGGAAAGCAATTCGTCGTCGGTCGACTATCCGTAACCGTTGAGGATATACTGGCCGAAGGTAAGCTGTCTTTTGCAAAAGTGGGTGGATGTGTATGTCTCGGATTGCAGGAGGATTCGCCATCGTTTATCTGGTTAAGGCCAATAATGGCGTTAGGTACGCTCTCAAGCGGCTGTACGTCAACAACGAACAAGATCTTAACGTCGCTAAAAGAGAAATTCAGATAGCCGTAACGTATACGTGCCGCTACGTTCGCTTCTTTTCTAACAAGTCTCGTTTTAGAGCAACCTGAATGGGCATAAGAATATCATCGGATATGTAGATTCGAGTTTGACGCCCACGAGCGGGGGCGTTTATGAAGTGCTTTTGCTAATGCCTTATTGTCAGAATAACGTTTTAGGGTTAATGAAAGCACGCGCGAAAGCTAATTTTACCGAGCAAGAGGTGTTAAGTATATTCTGTGATACATGCGAGGCCGTCTCGCGATTGCATCACTGCCAAACTCCGATCATTCATAGAGATTTAAAGGTAAGGCGTTATCTCGACCGCTTCCAGCTTTTTAATCTTTAATTGTTATGTTCCACTGATTTCTAAAGTAAATAAGTTTGTTTAGCAGTTTTTTATTTAATTAGGGAAAATTGTTGATAGTACGTTATCACTCCATTTCTAGTTTTATCATGAAAGCTTTCTAACAAAATTGTTAGTATTTAAAAAACGATTATACTATCTTCAGGGTGTTGGCTTAATCTAAAGGGCATTGGCTTTGTTTGTATACAACCAGCCTATACTTGCATGAATTCCGTCCGTTTGTCTTGGGGGTTTGAGACCTCGGCACTTGGACATTGTAAAAAACTGCGTTTTTTTTTACAAAGTATGTATTGCTGTGTGCACTGGTCTGTAGGCCAAATGATAAAGCTGTGTGCCCACGTTGGGCGCCAAATAATAATGCTGTGTGCACTGGTCCATAGGCCAGAAAGTCCGTACACAAAACACCTAAACAAAACGCTAGCTTAACTTCTAACAGATAGTGAGTCAGACCAAATACCTTAAACTCCAACTGAACTGCAAAATTTTGAATAATTAAAATGGACCTTGGGCAAGCATCCAACAAAAAACATAGTTGAATTAGAAATGACGTCTTTGTGAATGAAACACACGGAAATTAATGTGAGCATTACAAAAGTGCGATTTAATTCTAACACACACACAAGGAAAAATGATACAAAAACAAACAATTATTACACAAAGACTAAAATTAAAACTTAATGACTTACATTACATGTCCAGGAATTGTAAAAGGTATCCGTACACAAAATTACAAATTTCAATTCAACAATTACACTTTGAACACATATGTTGAAAACTCACTCATGGGGGCGCCGACAACCTTTTTTCTTTGAAGCACCTTATTAGATGGTCAAAACTTTACCACACTCTTCCAGCACGAACAAACGTGAAACGTAGAAGAAACTTCTTCTATCTTCAAACTTCTAAAAAACGTAATAATGCCCTGACTCTTGGCTTAAAGCTGATTCTCAATTTCAATGAAACGTAGTTCTCTGTCGACTGTGGCCAAAAGCGACGTTATCCTTGTGCAAATCCTATTTAAGGCGAAACCCTTCTTCCGAAAATCAAAATTATAACAACCAATCATTACACAGTTGACAACATATATCCCCTCAACTTACGTTAAAAGACTAACATAATAGAGGTTGAATAATTTTACTAAACAAATTCTTATCAGACATAAATTAACTACAATACTAGGAAAAATAAAAATTTATCTCTCTTAACTACACAGAAAAGGCGATAAATCACATCCACCTGCCAATTAAACTAAGCATTTACAATTGGTAACAGATAAAGACCAATTCAAAATTCTCGGAAATTCTATGTTAAATAAAAATTAAGTGTAAACAAAAACAACCTTGACCGCTTTCTCGTATGACAAGAATTTCCGTGCCGTCACATAGACCAACGACAAATTAATAATTCAATTATGAATGTTAATTACACAAAAAGGAGATCGCCTTTGTCCATCTTAATTAGGATTTCCAAAATTTCATCCTACCAGACGAAATAAACACAGCAGTATAAACGAAAGTATTGTAATCGTGATAAATTTTTGATATGTCCATATTGCGTTTTCTAGACGTTTTTGAGGCCCACAGACCCTAACAAAAGTGATTTTTAGCTTGACGTTTGTATGTGGGTGTGTATGCGAACACGATAACTAATAAACGTCTGAACCGATTGGGATGAAATATCGATTCTTTCACTCAACGATAGAACGTGTGTTCACCCTCCCCCCCCCCTCACTTTTAAAAGTTTTACTTGTGATAACTGAAGACATGCGTATGCGTATGTATGCACGTTTCACTTTCAAAAATAGCATCTGAGGACCACACCTTCAATTGAAAAAAATTTCCCTAAAAGTACTGAGTTCAAAACCACAGAAGTGGATGCGAATGGACGAACAGACGGACAGACAAAACGCAAACAATAGCACATTTTTTTAATTCTTAAAAAATGCGTTAAAAGATAAAGGGAGCAGTGTTAATTTCGGCTGTTTATTATTATCTTGGACACGCTATTGAACAGAGGCATAAAGTAACAATAAACAAATAATAAATAACCGCGTGGTGGGGGTAAAAAATTAAACCCCACATAGCGCGCCACCGTCAAAAGTTTGTCCCCCCCTTCCCGTAGCCTCCCAAGTATTTTTTCAATTTTTTCCCGAAAAATAAGAACAATAACATGCCTCCAGGGGGTCCGATTTCGAATCGCGTTCCGAAACGGGGGTGGGGGGGTGGAGGGAGAATGGGGTAGAAATTAGTTATATCTTTCATTCTATTCTATTAAAGGAAGTGTTAGAAGTCTAGGAAATCGTTTTTGCACATGCAGATTCGATTTGCCTCACATACTGCGAGAAAAACACGATACTAGGCGATTCCGCCTCTTCGCCTCCCGCTGTTTTATAACGTTTGGAGTACATTGCGAGCTAAAAATTCTAAAAAGCCTAAATACAAGACCAACGTAAAACAACGCCTGGAACAGGGGCAGGGAGGTGGGGGGGGGGGGCTGGTTTAGTCAACGATTGCACGGAGTAACTTAATGCCTTGAAGATAACATTTTTCAATAGAGTGCTTGTGTATTATGATATGGTTGAATATTCTCCACATTTTAAAAATATTTGGCATATACAGGGTACGCCCACAAAGTAGGGCGCCCAAATGGTACATTTAATTACATTAAATAGAACCCCCTGTATTTGAATGCATTTTTGAATTGTACGTGTAATTGTACGTCTTTTTTATTATATGGTTAATATCCGAAAAGCTAGTAGTTTTAAAGATAATTCGATTTTTACGAAAAATTGGGCATTTGCAAGCGTCAGTATATTGTCAAAATTATTACTTAAATTTTGATTTCAGGTTTTATATCTTTTATCCTGGGTTAAGTAAAAGTCAAATAAATACATCTACTATGAAACATTAAAAAATAGCTTACAGGGTGTTTTTTTGGTGGGTCCAAAGTTGCAAAACTTCATATTAAAAAATCGCACTTTTTTGAAATGGAACACCCTGTATATTTTTCTGTCATCATTTAGCTTCTCCCAAAACCTTCAACTTTTGATAATAATATCCTATACCTATCTCTGATAGTATTCGAAATATTTTGGTTTTTATATTCTAATCGTAAATAAGTTATATGTAATTTACATAATATAGTGAGGTGGACATGCAAAAAAAAGGCGATTTTTATCTATCTCGTTCAAAACAAAAATCATATCGATTAATTTATTTTTCAAACAAGTCCAAAAACTGGAGAATAAGTAAAAACATTTAACTACAAAGCAAATTTAATTTAACTCATAATGTCATCCAGTCAGTGATACATATTAGTTTAATTTTTTTTTCATATTCACCTCGTTATTATGTAAATTAGAACTTATTTCAGATTAAAATATAAAAAGTAGAAAAACCAAGAGATCTGTTTGTTTTTACTATCAAAGTTATTCTCCAGTTTTTATCGACTTTAAATGAATTATTAGAAAAACGAATTAATAAATATTGTTTTAGCTTCGAACGAGGCAGATAAAAATCGCCTTTCTTTTTGCATGGCCACCTCACTATTATGTAAATTACATATAGGTAACTTATTTAAGATTAGAATACAAAAACCAGGAAAACCAAGATGTTTCGAAAACTATTAGAGATAGGTATAGGACATTATTATCAAAAGTTGAAGGTTTTTGGGGGAGCTAAATGATGACAGAAAAATATACAGGATGTTCCATTTAAAAAAAGTGAAATTTTTAATATGAAGTTTTGTAACTTTGGATCTAGAAAAAAAAACACCCTGTAAGCTATTTTTTTAATGTTTTATAGTAAATGTATTTGTTTGACTTTTACTTAACCCAGGATAAAAGATATAAAACCTGGAATCAAAGAGATCAAAGAGAAACTTATTTAATAATAGGTAGTTCTAAATAATACCCTGGAATCAAAATTTAATTAATAATTTTGACAATATACTGACGCTTGCAAATGCCCAATTTTTCATAAAAATCGAATTATCTTTAAATCTACTAGCTTTTCGGATATTAACCATATAATAAAAAAGACGTACAATTACATGTAGAATTATAAAAATGTACCATTTTGGCGCCCTACTTTGTAGGCGCACCCTGTATAATTCCAAATATTTTTTAAAATGTGGAGAATATCCAACCATATCATAATACAAAAGCACTCCATCGAAAAATCTTATCTTCAAGGCATTAAGTTACTCCGCGCAATCGTTAACTCACGCTGTACACTAATAAAACGTGTCAACGAAAGGAATTAATTCTACCAACCACAGTCATTCTTCTCCACTCCTTATCGTGATTGGTTATAATTGGTCATATGTCAAGAGCGGTGTGTCGGAGGAGAGTATTCACAAAGGCAAAATTAATCGTCTAGGCGATCTTGAAAACGAAATGTTGAAAGAGGGTACTCATAAAGGGCAAGTGGAACGTCGGGACGAGACACATCTACTGGTGATGTCAAAACTTTCAGGCTTACATGGCATGCTACTACTATTATAACCCATTTATTTATTAAACTATGTCGATTTAAAAAATCGCTTTATCTGCACAGTTTCTACGTCGGAAATTATCTTGTAAATGAGGGTCACCAAAACTTTAATTCGCGCGTTTAAAACTTCCATTATTGTTTGTATTTACCGTAAATCGCAATTTATTTCTTGTAGATGAGGGCCACCCAGAACTTTTATTTGCGCGTTTAAAACTTCCAATATTGTTCGTATTTATCGTAATAGTGTTTAAATCGGAAATTATCCCCTGTAAATGAGTGTTACCAAAACTATAATTCGCGCGTTTAGAACACCTTACGCTAACTTACAGGTTTGGAACAACCAACTTTCTACTACTTTTTTAAATTGACACACATCCCTTGATGCAAATCTTTTCCACCAATTAACTAGCTTCGCCCAACTAATCATATTCATTGACGGCTATAAACGTGGAGTAAATTTCTCTCAGATTCAGATAACGACGACCGCAAAACAACCAAAATCCTTCCTGTAACCTGAAACAATCGCGCGATATTCCAGGACTCACGGGCGCCTGAAGTTTTCAAACGCATTTAACAAGGCGGGACGTATTACAGGAGCGCTCGCCCAATAAATTTCTGAATTTTTTTTAAATCTTATAATCGAGAAATAAGTCCAATAAGTCATATAAAAAAATATAAAGTCAAAATCACCCCTTCGCCCTCCAAACTCCAGTGTAGAATATTTTATATCTCGTGTGTCTTTTTTGTGAGTCTGTGGTTCAAACAATTTTACAAAATGGATCATGTTAACATACGCCAAAAATCTGACAAAATCGCCCGTAAAAAATCAAGAAAAAAAAATGTGTTCCCTCGTCAGTAACCACCACGGTCCTGGTAAATACCCGACGGTGGGTTGCCCGAGTTTGCACCAAAAATTCTTCAATATGCTTGAGAAGTACAACCGAAAGTGTTCTGGATCAGAGTGTATACCACCTCGAAGTCTTCCAAAACTAATTCAATGTTCTAGTCGAAGTTCGCTGTTGTCGTACCGATAAGGTTGCAGTGGAAGCATGCCCAGAGGTTTCCGAGGAGCACACGTTGAGAAACTTCGAAAGGTGCGGCGATAAATTGCGAAGGATCGGTCGAAAGTTGGAGGTTTTTGGCGACGAAATTGAGCTAGGTGAAGTTAACGCTATCGTCAACCAAATTACACACATTCTGGATTACATTGACAAAATTTTGCGAAAGTGCGAGGGGCACAGGCCGTTGAAGACTGTCTCGGTTTCGACCGAGTGCGAGGCGATCACGCGCGCCGTTGGAACGGTAACGTCAAATCTCGAACTGCAACCGAAGAAATCGCGCGATATCAGTTCGTTGTTCGAAGTACGAAGGCACTTTCGCGCCTTGCTAACGCAGAAAAATTGTAAACTTGAATGAAGCTTGTAACTAAATGAAGTTTTTTTTTCTTTTTCACTTACTTTCTTCTGCAATGATTGTGTGACCTCGATGTATACGAATCTTTTCTAGTCGTCGATTTTAATGTGTCTTTGTCTAGACTAGTTCTAGTTTGCGCGATTTTCCAAGCAAATGTTTCCTTAATCCATGGCACAATTTTGAAGTTATCAAGTTCGGATTCAAAAATTTAAAACTTCTTTAATTAATTTCTCGCTTTCTGGTCATAAAAATCTGGGACCAGTGTTAAACATTTTAATAAATTAGCTTGCTTCTAATGATACTAAGCACAATCTAATCGGACGAGGTTTACTGCAATACATCTGATTTAGTTACCGATATTTATGCTCGCTCAAATGGTCGGTTCCATTGCTGATTGATATTCTCGGATAAAGCAAGAGGTTCAGTGTCAATCTACGTAAACTGCACGACCTTGCAGTTTTAATGGTCGTTTTTCACTTAACATTTGAAAATTGAAATCGATTATTAATGAGTGAAGGGAACTGAAATGATACAATATTAATTTTCTCTCGTCTTCCAAAGGACGAGAGAGCGAGAATAATTAAAATATCTCTACGGAAACAATTAGATACTGCCTCTTAGTTTCTTTATCGGCGGCTAAAACGGCGCTACAAATTAAAGCATTCGCCTTTACCTTCTATTTGCAACTCCTAGAGTAGCCGGAAGGGTTTCTCGTGAATAAGCGCCCGTTTGAGTTCCACCATGTACCGGGTGTTTATTAAAGCCGGTTGAAATTATATACGAAAACTTGTAGATCCATTATTGTTCGTATTTACCGTAATAGTTCCTAAGTCGCAAATTGTTCCTTGTAAATGAGGGTCACCAAAACTTTGTTCCGCGCGTTTGAAAGCAAGAACAATTAAAATATCTACGGAAACAATTAGATACGGCCTGTTAGTTTCTTTATCAGCGGTTAAAACGCCGCTACAAACTAAAGCAATTGCCTTTATTGAAAATTATTTCAGTTTTCCCGAATTTTCCGAGTTTTTCCTAGAAAATATCACCTCAATACACGGCGCAATTTGAGGATCTCTAGTTTAAATATTCAGGGTAATTAAGTATCGTTGATCTCTGACCCTAGACATTTTTTCCGAATCGTAAACGGTAATGTGGACGGACATCGTTATGATTTTATGATAAAAAATGTCAAATCATGATCATATAACCGGAAAATATTGAGGTGCAGCACATAGTAAATGTAATTTTAAGTTACCATTGATTCTAATTATTCAGGTCTTAATCTGAACTTTTTGTGATGCAAAAAAATGCGTTGAGGAAATTCTTTCGCACAAATGCTAAGCTCATAAAGGTTCTAAACGTTGTGTTACGGTCAACTGTTTAATACCAACTTTTTTTTTACTTCGGTAGTTCAACACCGATTAACAAAAGTGAGATAAAGAAAAAGCAATTCTGAATGTATGTATGTTATTGGAAGGTTCTCTTTTAACGCTCTTCCATTTTAGGTAGAAAATATATTAGTCGGCGAGAGTGGCAATTATGTGATCTGCGATTTCGGCTCGGCAACCGGGCGGGTGCTAAATCCTTCGACTCACGGCGCGTCCGTCGTCGAGGAGGAGATTAAGCGCTACACTACACTTAGCTATCGATCACCCGAAATGGTCGATATGTACTGTGGAATACCAATTACGACAAAGGCTGATATTTGGGTAAACGTCACTTGTCGTTTCGAGCGTTTTGATCGTTTCTCGTTTCAGGCTCTTGGCTGTCTGTTGTACAAATTATGTTTTTTTACATTACCGTTTGGAGAGAGTACTTTAGCTATACAAAGTGGAAATTTTTACATTCCTGATAATTCTAGGTATTCAAAGGGTTTACACCAATTAATTCGTAAGGATTTAAGCGCGCATTTATTCTACGTCGTAATTAATTTTACTTTTCTTAGGTTATATGTTAGAACCTGATTCGGATCGTAGACCCGATATTTTTCAAGTATCCTGTATAGCATTCCCATTATTAGGCAAAGATAATCCAGTACAAAATTTACATGTACGTATTTTTTTGTTGCTTTCTTAACTGTACAGCAGTCACATCTTTGGTAAAAGAGAAACGACACTCTCTGTACATCAATTTTTTAATCAGCTCATCGTTTTATCTTTTTTGTGTTTGCAAAATCTGAAGATTTTTTACAGACCTTTTACAATTTCTGTAAATACTGTTGTACCTTATTGTTTACTTTTCAAACCTTTTTTGAATTTTTGTATTTGAAAGTCTCGGAAATATTGCAATATTTTCAACTTTTGCATAATTCTTAAAATTTCAAAGGTTACAATTCCCGAAATTGCAAAAATCCCAAAATCTCATAATGGCCATAATCCCAAAAAATCAATCCTTAAGAATACAATATCAAATTCCAAAATAATAAAGTTTATTATCCCAACAGTGATAACACATTTCTCACATTTTTATCATCTCAACAAAATGTCTGTTTTTGAATCTTAAGACTTGCAAAATCTTTGAACTACCAAAATTAAAAATGTATTTTCTCAGAATCTTATACTCAAAAACTCAAAATATGAAATTTCAAAAAATTTCTCAAAAGTACCATTTCAAAAATCTTGAATTCCAAAAGAAATAACCCTAAATTTAAATGTCCATAACATGGAATTCCCAAAATTTAAGATGTCCATAACTTCAAATTCCCAAAATCAAAAATTCCCAAATATCCAAAAAATCTCAAAACCTTATATTTCAAAAATTTAAAACTCAAAAGTCTGTATTCTGTTCCTTAAATTTCATAGAAAATTTTAAATTTTTTCTGAAGTTACAGAATCTTAATACTTCCATAATTTTATACCTAAAATTTTAAATGTCTATAAACCTTAAATGCTCATATGTAAATTTTCGAATTCTTAAGTCCAAAGTCCCCAAAATCGCAAATTTTCAAGTTTCAAATTCATAAAAAATTCTCAAAATGTAAAATTTTCATAGCGTCGAATTCCTAAAATCATAAATTTCCAGAATTTCGAAATCCATAAAACTTTCTCTGAAAATGTATGTCTGTAACCTTGAATTCCCAAAATTAAAAAAATTTAAAACTCCGAAAATCTCAAATTTGTATAATCTAAAATTCCCTAAATCTCCTACTACTCCTAAAATTACACAAATCCCAAGATCACAAATTTACAAAATTTCAAAAGCTCAAATTTTCAAAAATGTACTCCCATGTCTATAATCTAAAATTCCCTAAATCTCAAACTACTCCCAAAGTTACACAAATTCCAAAAGATGAAATTTTTATAGTTTCAAATTACCAAAATAAAAGTTCCAGAATATTACACTTTTAATATTTCCAAAATTTTCATTCAATTCAATTAAATTTGTTGTCTGATTCTGAAAATGTACTCCCAAAGTTTCCAAAATCTGAAATTTCCAACTCACGTTCGCAAAATTTCATAATCGGAACCACAAATTTCCAAAAATTCTGTAATTTCATATTTCAAAATCCTAATATCTTTTTAAAATTTCAATACCTATCTCAAATTTCCAAAATTCTCAAAATTTGAAATCCCAAAATCCTCAAATTCTCCAAAATCAACTTCAAAAACTTAATTTCCCAAAAGTACCAATTCCCATTTCAAAAATCTTGAATTCTTAAAATAATAATTTTCCAAAATTTTGAATTCCATAAAAATCTCCCAAAATTTAAAATGTCCATAACTTCAAATTTCCAAAATCAAAAATTCCCAAATATCCAAAAAATCTCAATCTTATGTTTCAAGAATTTAAAACTCAAAAGTCTGTATTCTGTTCCCTAAATTTCATACTCCCAAAATTTTAAATTTTTTCTGAAGTTCCAGAATCTTAATACTTCCATAATTTTAGACCTTAAACCTTAAAAGCTCATATGTAAATTTTCAAATTCTTAAGTCCAAAGTCCCCAAAATCTCGAATTTTAAAGTTCCAAAATCATAAAAGATTCTAAAAATGTAAAATTTCCATAGCGTCGAATTCCTAAAATCATAAATTCCCAAAATTTCGAAATCCATAAAACTTTCTCTCAAAATTTATGTCTGTAACCTTGAATTCCCAAAATCATAGATTAAATGTCAAAAAATCCCAAAATCTTAAATGTCTCCAATGTAAAACTCAAAATGACAAATGTCTATCTATAATCTAAAATACTCTAAAGCTCAAACTCCCAAAATTTAATTTAAAACTCAGAAAATCTCAAATTTCTATAATCTAAAATTCCCTAAATCTCAAACTACTAAAGTTACACAAATCCCAAGATCAGAAATTAAAAAAATTTCAAAAGCTCAAATTTTCAAAAATTTAACACCCAAAATCTCAAATGTCTAATCTAAAAAATCTCAAACTACTCCCTGAAATTTTTAGTCTCAAATTACCAAAATTTCTAAGTTCCAGAATATTATACGAGTACTTTTAACATTTCCAAAATTTCCATTGTCTGATTCTGAAAATATATTCCCAAAGTTAATTTCCAACTCACATTCGCAAAATTTCAAAATCGGAACCGCAAAAATTCCGTAATTTAAAATTTCCATAATTCTCAAAATTTTAAACTCTCAAAATTTTCAATTCCCGAATCCCGAAATTTAAAAAATCTCGAATTCTAGAATCTTAAGACTTACAAAATTTAAAATCCATAATCTCAAACTTTCAAAATCTCAAACAATTTCAAATTTACGTAATTTCTCATTCGTAGAATGTCAAAATTCAACATCTTGAATTCCATTAAAAAATCTCCCAATAAAATGTGGGTAGCATCGAATTTCCAAAACCACAAATTCCAAAATGTCCAAAAATCTCAAACTTAAAACTACCAAAATCTCAAATGTCTATAATCCTAAGTTCTCTAAATCTCAAAATCTCATAGTTTCAAAATTCCCAGAATATCATTTGGAATTACGAATACTCTCAAAGTTTAATAAAAACCCAAAATTTCAAATCCCAACAACCTCGATCTCGTCCAAAACCCTAAAATTAAAAAAATTTTGAATTTATAACAAAATTTCCCAGAATGTCGAATTCCAAAGATTGCGAATTCGCAAAATTTCAAATGTTTAAAGTTTAAAAGTACCCAAATATCTAACCTCCAGAATATTAAGACTTTTTAATCTAAAAATTTAAAATGTCTGTATTTTGAAAATATATTACTCCCAAAGTTTCAAAAATTACAAAGTTGTTACTAAAAGTCAGAAAATTCTGAAACTTCAAAATTAAATTCGTAAAATTTCATAATCACAGAACCGCCGATTTTCAAACATCCTATAATTTAAAATTTCAAAATCTCACTATTCTTACAATTTCAGAATTTCAAATTTCCACTTTCTTAAAATTTCAAAATCCCGAAATTTTAAATGTTCGAAATTTCAAAAATTTCGAATTCCCAAAATCTCCATGTTCACATTTAAAAATCAAAATTCAAAATCCTTAATACTACAATATCGATTTGCCAACATCTCAGATTTCTATGGTCTCGACAAAATCTCTGTTCCAGAACGTAAGACTTCCATTTGAAATCCCAAAAACCTCATATCCTCTAAAATCCCAAAATTGAAGAAATTTTTGTGATTTCGTATTTGCAAAATTTAAAAATTCAAAATTTTGAATTTCATAAAAAATTCTCTCTAAATTTAAAATGAGAATAGCTCCAACTATGAACATCGTAAATACCCAAACTTTTGAATTTTATAAAAAGTTTTTTTTAAATATCTTCAAATGCAAAATATCCTTAATTTAAAATTTACAAAGTTATACAAATCCCAAGATCACGAATGCACAAAATTTCAAAATCTCAATCTCTAAAGTTTCAAATTACCAAAATATCTAACCTCCAGAATATTAAGACTTTTGACACTCCCAAAATTTAAAATGTCTGTATTCTGAAAATATATTACTCACAAAGTTTCAAAAATCCCAAAGTTACAAATTTATTACCAAATTCTGAAACTTCCAACTGAAATTCGGAAAATTTCAAAATCACAGATCCACAAATTTTCAAAAATCCTGTAATTTATAATTTCAAAATCTCAATATTTCCTAGGAATTTCAGTATCTTAAATTTTCATGGTTCCTAAAATTTCGAAATTCCAAAAATTTAAATTTCCAAAATTTCAAAAATCGCGAATTCCCACCTATACGCTAAAGTCAAAATCTAAAATCCTTAATACTACAATATCGAATTACCACAATCTCCAGTTCCAGAATCTTAGGTTCCCAAAATTTCAAATCCCAAAAACCTCAAAAGTCCAAAATTGAGTTTTTAGAATTTGAAGCAGATGTGAGAACATGTGACTGCTGTAAAGCTAAGTAATGGGATCTATTTTCTGACAAAGTGCAATATTACAGAACACTCCAATTCCATCACTAGACGACCTACCGGTACCTCAACTAGAATCAGAATCCAAAAAAATGCACACACAAGTCAAATCAATGGCGAAACCATCTTCGGTTCCACTAGTTGAAGGGACCAGCGTAATGCCAAGACAACGACCAAAGGGCAGCTCCGCTAACCCGCTAACCTTAAACAACCTTCCTCTTACTTTAAGTCCCAGCCCTACAACGATAAAAAAATCCCAAAGTCCCGTGACCTTAGTAGATAGTCAATTCCAAAGTATGAACCAGGCGAACTACCCGCCCGTCACGTTCTCAACGACCTCTCCGTTTCAGAGTCCCCCAGCGTTCTTTTCCGTACCCAATCCCGAACCGCCGGAGAAACATTTCGATAATCTCTTCCAGTCTTCCATCTATCCGGATCCGTTTAGGGATGAGAGTAAGGCGAACGCCGAAGCTTGTCAGAGAAACGTGCCTCTTAATATTGTCTCGCCCGTCACTCCCGAGCAAACGCTCTTGGGATCGGGCGGTTTGCTGTCGGGCGGAGGGTCGGCGAAGATCGGACTGGCCGAGTCGACAAGTCAAAGTATGGTCGGTTCGTCGGATACGCCGCCGAATTCGCCGTCGCTGTCCGCCCCTAAGGGCCACCGACGCAATATGAGTGATACTACCGCTTTCAACAAGTAAGTATGCATTTATCGACTGTTGCTTTTCGTCTTTTGGAAAAATTATTTAGATACTTGTACAGGGTGTCCAATTTTAATATACTACTTCAGATTCAAATATACAAGACGTTCTATTAAAAAAATGAGGTTAAATCTAAACTTTTTTACCTAACCCCGTATATATTCCTTAGTTTGACTGAAAAAAATACATGACGCCATTTGATCGTACTAATAATTACAGAGATGGTACCGTAGAAAAATATCGAAAATCGGACACCCTGTACGTCATGGGAAAGTAGAAATTTGATGAAAATTGGAGATTCAAGTTTAAATTGAAACCGTTAAAATTTCAAATATATCAAAATGATGAAAATTCTTGATCAACACCGATTTAGAAAAATTGAAATGTCATCTGTTATATCAATTTTTCGGTGTAAAAATTTTTTGTTTCAATTTTCGGTTTTTTTAACGAAAAGTTGTCAAAATGTTGGCATTTATGACCACTTGGGTCATAATCCGACGTTTTCCATCAATTTACTTCAACTTTTTTTGAAAATTGTTTTTTTAAATTTTTTTAGTAATTTTTTTGTAAAATTTTAGAAGACCCAAATATAACAAAAATCCAGAATGTAAAATTTTGCTAATTTTCACACTTCAAAAATTTCAAAATCCAAGAATCTTGAATTCCATACAGAATTTTCCCATAGCCCCTAATTCACAAAATTTCGAGCCTCATAAAAATCTTCCAAAATTTAAAATGGCCATAACCTAGAATTCCCAATGTTCAAAAATCCCAAAATGTTAACTTTTAAAACTCCCTAAATCTCAAATTCCCAAAATGTTCTCCCCAGAATATCATCATGATTATCAATATCTCAAAACTCCAAAATGTAAAATATCTATAATTTCTAATTTACCTAAACCAAATTCCCTAAATCTCAAACTACTCCCAAAGTTACACAAATCACAAGATCACAAATTGACAAAATTTCAAAATCTTAAATTTCAGAAATTTTAAACTAAGTACTCAAATCTCAAACTCCCAAAGTTTCAAAAATTTCACAATCTCAAAATTTTTATTTCCCAAAATATCATTTCGAATTACTAATATCTCAATACTTCAAAACGTAAAATATCTATAATCTCCCAAAGTTACAAAACTTCTAAGATCACAAATTCACAAAATTTCATAATCACAAATTTCTATAGTGTCAAATTACCAAAGTCTAATTTTAAAATCCCGAAATTTCAAAAATCTCGAATCTCAAACTTAAAACAATAATAGGAACTAAAATTCCGAATTTCTATGGTCTCAACAAAATTTCTAAGTTCCAGAATCTTAAGACTTCCCAATAATCAAATTTTCGGAATTTCTCATTTGCAAGGTTTCGAAATCTAAGAATTTTGAATTCCATAAAAATTCTTCCAAAATTTAAGAATATCTATAACCTCGAATTCCCAAAATCATAAATTGTCAAATGTCAAAAAATCCCAAAATCTTAGATCTTAAAAATTGAAAACTCCCAAAATGGGTTTTATCTAAAATTCTCTAAATCGCAAACTTCCAAAGTTTCAAATTCGCAAAATTTCATAATCACAGGGCCACACATCTTCAAAATGTACAATATCAAAATCCAAAATTTTAATTTCTCGAAATTTCAATAATATCGAATTCCCAAAATTTCAAAACTCCCATAATCTCATGAAATTTCTAGTCAGTTCCAGAATCTTAACACTTTCAAAATTTTAGAACTCCCAAAATTGAAGTCTAGAATCTCAAAATATTATACGCCAAAATTTTAAATTCTCAAAATTTTAAAATCCCAAAAAAACTCAAATTCTCACTAGTCCAAAATCCCCAAGTTTAAAAAATCGTGAATTCCATAAAAAATTCTCCCAAAATTGAAAATGTCCATAATCTCAAACTCCCAAAGTTTCAAAAATTTCAAAATCCAGAAATTTTCAATTCCAAAAATATTTATTTTTTTATTTATGTTTATTAACAATTCTTAAAATTTAAAATGTCGGCATCTAATCCCCAAAATCATAATTTCTAAAAATTTGATATGTTCATAACCTCGAATTCCCAAAATCATACATTCCCAAATGCCCAAAAATGTCTATAACCTGAAATTCCGTAAATCTTACTCTCAAACTTTCAAAAATTCCAAAATTCTCAATTCCCAGAATATCTCGAATTACCAATATCTCAAATTTACAAACTCCCACAAATCCCAAGATCACAATTTTATAAAATTTCAGAATCTCAAATGACCAAAGTATTTAAGTTCCAGAATATCTCAAAATTTAAAATCTCAAAATCTCATACAAAACCGAAAACCTTAAATTCTCAAAATTTCAAAATCCCAAAATATGATTTTTGCAACATTTAAAAAATCAAATTTTCCCAAAATCTAAACTCCATTGCCTCGAATGCCCAAAATCATAACTTCCCACAATTTTGAATTCCATAAAAACAAAATTTAATATATCTATAACCTCGAGTTTCTAAAATAATAATTTCCCAACTGATCTTAGATTTCAAAAATTGGAAACCAAATTCTCAAATGTCTATAAATCTAAAATTCTCCCAATCTCAAACTACCAATGTTTCAAAAATTTCTATATCTTAAAATTTTCAATTTCCAAGCAATTCTCAAAATTTAAACCGGCTATAGTCTTTCAAATTAACAAAATTTCTAATTTCCAGAATATTAAGACTTCCACAATTTTGGAGCTCTCAGTATTTAAGATGTCTGTAATTTAACAATATCATGCTCCCGATGTTTTAGAGATCCCAAAATTACAAATCTAACTCAAAGTTGCAAAATTTTAACCATAAGTTTCCAAAAATCCTGTAATTTAAAATTTCAAAATCCCAATAGCTCCTTACAGTATCTCAAATTTCCATATCTAAAATTACAAAATGGCAAAGTTTTAAATCTCGAATTTTGAAAACTCCGACAATCTTAAAAAGTAAAATCTCAAATTTTGATGGTTTCAAAAAATATCTAAGTTACAGACTTCCAAAATTTAAAAGTCTAATCTCAAAATCGCATATTCCCAGCTTAACAAAAACCCAAAATCTTGTTTTGAGATGTTGGTAGGTAATTCGAGATATTTTAGGATTTTGGTTAATTTTAGATTATAGATATTTCAGATTTTGAGAGTTTTGAATTTCAAAAATGTAAGATTTATTACAAAAATCTTAAACTTCCAACTCAAATTCGCAAAATTTCAAAATAACAACCACAAATTTCCAAAAACTATATAAAATTTCAAAATCCCAATATCTTCTTAAAATGTCAGTATCTCAAATTTCCATAATTCCTACAATTTCAAATTTCGTGAAATTACGGAAATCTCGAATTCCCAAAATTTCAAAAAATCGTCAAAATTGAAAATCCTTAAAAATACAATATCAGATTCCCAAAATGTCACCCCCAAGGTGGGGTGTTATCACCACTTCTGTGGAACTTGACTGTAAACAGGCTCCTCTGTCGACTTAATGACAGTGGGTACTATACGCTGGGGTATGCGGATGATATATCCATACTTATAACCGGCAAATTTGAGGCTACTTTATGCAGACTGATGCAATCAGCTCTTACAGTAACCGAAGAATGGTGTAGGGAACACTCCTTGTCCATCAACCCGACAAAAACGGAGCTAGTTCTCTTCACAAGAAAAAGAAAGGTAGAGGGTATTCGAGCTCCCCTGCTATTCCAAAAACACCTCCAATTTTCAGAGTCAGTGAAATATCTAGGAATCACACTCGACAAAAAACTGAATTGGAGCAAACATATCCAGCTTAAAGCCGAAAAAGCAAATAGGGCTTTCTGGCAAAGTCGCCGCGCTATTGGCAAACTTTGGGGACCATCCCCGAAGGCTGTCCTGTGGCTGTACACTGCCGTGATTAGACCTATGTTCTGTTATGGAGCAATTGTCTGGTGGCCTAGAACCAGACTCTCCACAACTGTAGCACTCCTTAATCATGTGCAAAGACTAGCGTGCCTTGCCTGCACAGGCGCGATGCGAACGACCCCCACAGCCGTCATGGAGGCCCTCTTGGATCTGCCTCCACTAGATCTCCACGTGAGAGAGCAGGCCATTCTGGCATTCCTGCGTCTGAAAAATAAGGGGTTGTTGAATAGCAGAGGCATTGAGGGGGGCCACTCCCGAATTCTGGGCGAGGCGATCAAGCGTCTGCCTATCCTAGAGGGGAGATCGGACTCACTCACTCCTCAATTCATATTAGGGAAAAACTATCACATCTTCTTTGATGAGAATATGGCATCCCAACCAGATATATTCATCTTCACGGATGGATCTAAGACAATGGAAGGTACAGGCACTGGTATTTACTCCAAAGAACTGAACTTCCATATCACCCAACCACTAGGTAAACTTCCTACTGTATTCCAGTCAGAGTTGGTAGGATTAACGCTTAGTGCAAGAACAGTTCTTATGCATAACATAAAGAACAAAACTATCAGAATCTCAAGTGACAGCAGGGCTGCCTTGCAGTCACTTGGTCACTGTAAAATTACCTCTAGGATGGTTTCCGAATGTCACCACGTACTAGAGCAAGTAGCAAGCAGCAACACCCTTGAGCTCGTATGGGTCAAAGGGCATGCTGGAACGGAAGGTAATGAGAAAGCCGATAAATTAGCCCGACTGGCCTCAAAACAGGCGTTTTATGGTCCAGAGCCGGCTCTTCCACTTACAGTTACAACTGTAAACAACCTAATAACTCAAGACACCCAAACCCAGCACAGGGCTAGGTGGAACTTGATGTTAGATTGTCGCCATGCGAGAGAAGCCTTCAGAGGACCATCTCGTAGCTTGGCGCGTTTTTGTACAGGGCTATCAAGGAAGAACCTGAGGTTACTCGTGGGCATACTTTCTGGGCACTGTAAACTAAACAAGCACATGCACTGCATGGGTTTGGTGGAATCACCATCTTGTAGAGGATGTTACACAGACGACGAGACGGCATACCACATACTCTGTGAATGTCCCGCTCTAGTCCAACTGAGACGATCCATGTTGGGGGAATCCTGGCCGGACATGGCTACGATTAGAGCCGCCTCCCCTTCCAGCGTCCTAAGGTTCATCTCACGTGTGGGATGGCTTGAGTGATGCTGAGGGGTCGGGCGACCCTAGTCAGGGAGGTAGTACAAAGGGCCCGAATTTGAGGCCTAAGTACGCGTGGACACTGTTCACCCTCCTATCGTAATCCAGAATCCAGAATCCCAAAATGTCAAATTTCTGAGGTCCCAACTTAACAAAATCTCATCCTCACAACCAAGATGGATTTCTTGCTCACAACGCTTAACAGAAACCGAAAATCTTAAATTCTCAATTTGCAAAATTTCAAAAACTCAAATTCTCCAAAGTGCAAAATCCTAAAATTTCAAAAATCTCGAATTCCTAAAGTTGCAAAACTCCCATAATTTTTTAAAAGTTCTTAAAAATATCACAATATCGAAGTTCCAAAATCTCAAATTTCTATGGTCTCAAATTCGTAAATTCTCAAAATCGGAAATTTGCAGAATCGATGATTATGCATTTGTTTTTAGAGTATACGCCACCGAAACGTCGCAATTTCTGGCACCCTACGAGTCCTCAATTAAACCGCGCAACAACGAGTCCCCGCCCGAGCTGCCGTCGGGCGACTTTCAACTGGCCCCGCCCGGCTGCTCCGCCTCAAGCACCGACGTCAGTCACACGGCCAACGCCGACAATCGCTCGCTCTCGGCCGACATCGCCGACTGGAACCCGTTCGAGGATCCGCCCTTCAGCCAGATGACCGAGGACCACATTTTCGGCGCCGAATTCGACAAGATTCGCAAAGGGAGCCAGAGCAGTAAGCGGCGACTTTGCCCAAACCCCTAATTAACCTCCTCCGCAGGTATTCAAGGTGTGAAGTCGCGAGAGAGCCTGGTCATGTCCGTGTCCGAGGATCCGTTCGGTAGCGCCCCCTTTAGCATTCCGGCGAAATCGAGGGATCGAATGAACAAAATTACCCTGCAGGCTTCAGGTAATCCCTCTTAATTTAAAAAAAAAGCGCGCGCTTTATTCGAGCTTCAAAAGCGATTTACGGACTAGGAAGTGCAACTCGACATTCCAATCAAATTGTGTAAATCTTTGGATTAGCTTCCTAGTCGTACTTAAATTCCTCTTTCATCCTAGTCACATATTTTCTGTAAAAGTGGGACGACGCTCGAGTTGGCCTTTCAGGCGTCGTCCCAAGCGAAGCGAGTCCTTCAAATCTTTGACAGTCGTAGAGCGGATTAAACGTTTGAAGGGATCTCGTTAACGAGACAAGTGCTTGTGATATGATGTGTAATGTAAGGAACGGTGTAACGCTCAATTGATTTGTACTGATTCGTTTGTGATTCTCTTCGCGGTATGGTTATTAAGATGTTAGTAACCATGCCGGGAATACCATGGCAGATTAATACTCACTTGTTGCTCATCATCACAATAAATAATAATTGGCTATAGGTATTGTTAAATAATTAATTAATAAGCGCTTGGTTATTAACTTCTCAATCTGGAACAGCATTCTTAGAACACGCTTCTCTTTTTCATGATTATATTGATGTATGAAAAATGTAGCTTTCTGTTTTACTAATCAGATTTTGCATGACTTAATTTGGTGCTGGAATTATATTGTTTAATACAAGTGTACGGTAAACTCTCGATTATTATCGTTACTCTCGTTTGCAGTCGCCCTCTACTGGTCAATTTGGTTTTTAAATAACATTTAATGCGGAAATGAAGAGAAAAGAATCTAATAAAAACCATGGTCGTGGTGTTGCCTTTTGTACAAGGTGTGGATTACGGATTTTTAAATAGGTTAAGAACAAAGGGGTAAATAATCTTTCTTGAATTTTTTTTAATCATTTGCATATTGATCAAGAAAAATCGAAAATCGAAATTTTTTGAAAATAAGAATTTTGGTTCTTCGTCCAGTCATTAAATAAATTTAATTTAGACATAATTTAAATTTGAAAAATAAATTAATCTAAATAAAAAATCAACTAAGTAGAATTTTTGATTTTTTAAATTTTTATAAATTTAGAAATAGATTCATTACAACAAACTTCGACCTTTTTTAAATATATCAAACATTTTGAGTCAATCACGTTAAACATAATTCAAATTCTTGAAAAATTATGATTTATTTTCATACAATAATCAAGACACAATAGATTATTTTTAAAATTTTTAATTTTGACAGCGGTTTTTTTACGGGAAATTACGCACTTTGTAAACTAGGCGTGGGCCAAATCTGCAAAAACATATATAAAAAGTAAATACAATCTTTTTTTTTAAATTTTTGAAAATAGCTTGCAGAGTTTACCTCTGTTGTAGTTCAGGGGTCAAAGAAATTAAGTTATTAAAAAAAATCTTATAATTTTTTATTTTTGAGAATAATAAAAAAACCGTTTTTTTTATCGCGCAGTTAGTAATGTGGTCCTAAAGCTCCAGAGATTTTTTTAATTTTTAATTTCAAAAGAGACAATAATTTGCATACTGCTGTTTTTTTATAAAAAATTTGGAATTTTTTGCCCAAGTGTGGAACGAAATGTGCAGAATTTTTTAAATCATAATCATGAAATTCTTACATATTTATATAATTTTTACAATAAAAATACACATTTTTTTTGTTTTTTGATTTTGGAATAGATTCATGTCTACTAAAATTTAAAGTTTGTTTTTAGCGAATTTTCTGCAGAGATGCAGCAAACCATCCATGACACATGAAAAAATTTCGTATTAAAAATCCAAAAAATGTATGCACTCATTTTCGTGGTGCCGTGATCTATTAAAAACAAACAATATTAAAAAGAGGAATTTCACAACAGGTAATTTAAAAAAATATTTTTGAAAATAGACTCGTGTGAACCATACTAAATTGTTTTTTTTTTGCTTTGGAAACGGGAAAGTGCCTTTTTTGGTGTAAAAATTCATTAAAAAATTCTTTAGTAGCTATGTTGGATGAATTCTTAAAGGACCTCTAAAAAGCACTATGCGGGTCACTCTGTAATTGGGCGCAAGCCTGTTGAGGGTCCAGAACAAGAGAGGGATAATAAATAAGTAAATAAATAAATAAAAATCAAATAAGAATGTTGTTTGAAGATAAGTGTAATATAACATCAAACAAAAATTCCTATTAAAAAGGTAAAAAAAGTTAGATTGCCATTGGATTTTTTAAATTTCTTTTGAACTTGTTTAATGTTGAAATGTTAAAAAATTAATTCCCAGAGATTTTTGTACGAGGAATTTTTTAGCCGAATTTTAGGTTTAGTGATTTTTAAAAATTAAAAATTATTTTTGGAAAAAAATACAAATTTACTTGTTCGTATTTCTTGTAGTTTTTCTTTTGTCCGGGCATCAAATAAATTTAAGAAATGAAAAAAATTACTAAAACAAAACAACATTTCAAAAAATCAAAAAAGCTAATTTGGATCATTTTTAAATGATTTTGATTTTCGAAAATATATTTGTGCAAACCAATTCGGACGTTGAAGTAACGCAAGCAGCGTTTTTTGGGTCTTGTCTTATTGAACATAGAATCACAATCAGAATCACAAAAAAAGACCTCTACACAACAAATTTTTGCCAGTTTTTTTTTATTTAAAAAAATGGTTTTGGATTGACATCAACTATTTTTCTATATATCGACTTTTTTTAACAAAAAAATCTCGTAAAAGGGAAACAAAAACTTTTCCAATTTTTGAAAATGGTGTTTTTTACTAGGTTATATTTTATTGTGGTTCAGAGATTACGTTATTTTACAATTTTTTCATTTTTGAAAATAGATTATGTAAGTTTTTTTATCACACATAATCCTTAGGTAATGAAAGTTTTTTTAAAAGTTGTAATTTTTTTCCGAAGGTTTTTTTTTAAAACAATGATTTGCATACTTTTTTACGAATAGATGCATGTCAGCCAATTAAAAAAATGTTCGTTGTGAATTTTTAGACCAGCAAACCATACATGAAACAAAAAAATTGCGTTATGAATCTGAAAAATGTTTTTTATCTGCCCATTTTGTTGTACTGTTTGTAATTCAAAAAAACAAAATATGAATAAAATTTTTTTTCTAAAAAATGTTCGAATTACTTTTACCAGTTCAAAAAATGTGTACTTTTTTGGTGTTCTAAGCATCACACGCAAAATTTCAATTTTTCATTTTATCTTTTTTAAATCATTTGCATATTGATCAAGACAAATCGAAAATCGAAATTTTTTGAAAATAAGAATTTTTGTTCTTTGTCCAGTCATTAAATAAATTAAGTTTAAATTTCAAAAATAAATTAATCTAAATAAATTTTATTGAAAAATCAACTAAGTAGAATTTTTGATTTTTAAAATTTTTTTGAATTCAGAAATAGATTCATTACAATAAATTTCGACCTTTTTTAAATGTATCAAACATTTTGAGTCAGACTTTTTGCTTCCAGGTCAATTAAGCAAAGATCAAAATTTAAAATTTTTTTGTCAACAAAAATGCACGTTCGCATTTTTTGTTTTTGGAATAGATGCATGTCAACCAATTAAAAACCATCCATGAAACAAAAAAATTGCGTTAAGAATCTGAAAAATGTTTTTATCTGCTCATTTTGTGGTGCTCTTTGTAATTCAAAAAAACAAATTATGAATAAAAAAAATTTTTTCTAAAAAAATATTCGAATTACTTTTACCAGTTCAAAAAATGTGTACTTTTTTGAAAAGTGTTCTAAGCATCACACGTAATATTTAAATTTTTCATTTTATCTAGGTATGGTAGTGTCTTTTTTGAATATTAAAAATCCAAGATATAATGTAAATAGATGTTTTCCATGGTTGAATTAAGAATTAAAAAATCAAGAAATATTAATTTCCATTCGCACCAATTTTTCAAAAACTTCAAAAAATCATTTGCTAAGTGCGCTTTGAATAAAAACTATACATAAATTATATGGCGAACTGCAACTTTTACCGTATCATTTAAATCAAAATCGAATATAATCGAGAGTTGACCGCATTGGCGCATGAAGAATTGGCAATCGGTTTAAGCCGAAGGAATCCCATGCGATTCCTCTGCTTAAGCTTGCAATATGGGCAGATCGCTGACTAACACGATCAGGGTGGTATAATGTACATTGCGATACTAAACATGAATTGTGCATTGCATAAATATTCTATGTATAGTCTCACGTTGGAAAAAAGCATGTAAATTATTTAAATAAAAAGAGTAAGTAATTAAGTTATTATTATGAGTATATAATCGTAACTGTTGTAATCCTTCCTCTTGTATTAATATGTAAATTCTATGGAGCAATAAAGTTGCTTAATGTTTATTGCTGATATTTTTCCGAATCCATCCTTAACGAAAACATTTCTAGAATGGCTGTTCCAGAACGGTGGTGGTGGGGACTAAATTTCATTTTTCAATTATTATTAATATGTGCACCACATTCATGCTTACACCGTACCGCTAGCACTTACTTTTAAGTTTTCAAAAAACCCACTTGCTGTGCATTTGGTAACAGCCCTTTTAGATCCGATATCTTGGGATTTTTAGGTACCGGTCAGGCAGTTTGGTAATATCTGCCTCGCCGCGTGCGCATTTGACGTATTCAAATATTCCACTTATTGTGTGTAAGTAAATTTAATCGACTCAATGTTTGTCGGTGGTTTGAACCTATTGTCAATCAAACAAAACTGTTCTTTGAGGGTAGACACACCATCATCAATTGTAAAATTATTACGTCGGTCCGGTTAAATTTTCTTTATGAATGGGATTTGGACACCTCGACTTGCTCTTGTTGAATTTCTTCGCCTCTCCGTTGGAAGAAAAGTAAGAGGTTAGTAAATTGGACTGATTCATATCAAAATTGAACGAAAAACTACTACGGAATATTGTAAACTATGCAACAGACTACAAAGCGGCGAACTCCTACGCAAATATGTAAAGAACAATAATTCCGTCCCCTGAAATCTTTACAAGCGAGTTACACGTAATTAAATGTCTATTAATGAACGGAGTTGTAACTAACTGCAGGAAAGTCGACCACCGAATAATATGAATTAGAGTACCTTGTGTTGTTCCTTTCTGCAGTCTCTGCGCATTATCTGCAAATATAAACCCGCCTACAGCGCTTCGATGGAACACAGACACACACATAAAAAAAAGAGAAACCACTCCAAAGATATACGGTGGCAGCCAAAATAATACTTTTTACAATAGAGAAGTAATGTATCAAAGAAAAATAATTTGCATGAATCCAATATGTCGGCAGAATCTTCACTGTGCGAGAAATACCACTCATCGGCAAGGTAAACTTAAAGTAGGGATAGAATTAGAAGTACTATCGACACGACCTGGGCCGGCGAAACAAAGAACTATTGTAATAAGAACGCTTCAAGCAACTCGGATCGCCTTGTAGTGTGGTCACTATTCAGCGTTTAGAATAGAATTAAATAACACTAATAACATTTTTATATTTGATTAAATGACATATTCAAATTATCACCATGTAAACTAAAAAACAACTGTTCCAGATCCACCCATGGATCGCCACAGCCTCTAAAAAGAATAGCTTTAAACTACAGGAAATACATAGATGGCGTAAGAATTTAAATAAAACGTAATAATAGACAGGACCGTAATCCAGGACCACTCGCCCTAAAATAAAAAAACCAACATTTTTTAATACATTAGCGGGCTCCCGTTACACGTATGAGATATGTTTTGTAGTCTTGTGGTGTTTGCGTTAGTCGATTTGTTATATTCCAATTTGCAGTCAAGTGGGAAACCCTCCACCTCCATTTCACGGAGTGGACATTTTGACTGGAACACTCAATACATCTTCAAAACAACACCAATCTGCGTACTTTAAATTGCATATTTTATATTTATATTTTATTTGGCATATTTTTTTAAATAGCAACTACTACTACGTTTTGGGTGTAGCAATTTATTATATGGCATAATCAAATTTAAGGGAAAAATTAATTAAAGGAAAGAGCACTTACTAATACTAGAGCCCCCTTTAAAGATTCTAGGATCACTTATCCAACATACCGAAGGTTATTCAGAGACTTCTCTGAGTTTCTCTTTCGATGGTTTTCATGCAAGGAAGAAATTAGGTGAACTATACATCTGAATTGTATGAGTGAATTTGAAACGATGCAAGAAGTAAGTGCCTTATCGTCCTGGATGTTTCCGGATGTAATCATCTCGTCGTCGCAGGTTTCTTCTGCACGGCGCCTGTAGATTTGTTTCTTGGTTTGATGTACCGAAACTGCTCGCCTCCTTCCAGAAGTGGAAGTCACGTAGCGGGTTTAGAGATAGGATCCCGAAGAATCATCCCAACACCCGGATTTTTCGCCCAAATAAACCAAGACCGTTTTCGTAAATAAGCGCGAGCGTTAAGTAAAACAACACGCAGCAGTTTTTCAAACAATACGCTGCTCATTTGGATGTCCATTAATAATTGGAAAGTTTTCGATTTATGGTGAAACTCAGTTGCACTTATATCAACACTTCGTCCAATTTACGCAGTAGAATGTTTTGTCATGCCATTAGTTCACTATACGCCTCTCCTATAATATTTCCTGTAATTACGTTCGGGTACCAATGTACAGTCGTGGTCAGAAGTAATGTCCTTCCTCAGATACCTCAACTGTAGAAAAAGTATTAATATGTCAGTTCCTCCGTGATCGAGTTCAATTTCATTTCAATCTCAGGGACCTTCCTCATTTTGAAAAGAAACTCAAAACTCAGAGGAGACCAGATTATGCTACACTTGAGATAATCGCGGGACATTACTACAGACCAAAACCGTACAACATTAGAAATTGCATTGATTTTGGCATTAGGGGTTGTGGCTTGTGGAGCTGGTAACTAATCATAAACCACTTTTTTGTTCACCACATTTCCCCCTTTAGACACTTCCAATACGTTTTCATAGTTTTGGACCGAGTTTTCTACAACACTTGGGCTCGCTGGTTTGAGCATTATTTTTAGCGCATTTTTTAAGAATTAAAAACAAGTACAAATTGTGCACAACCCTTGTGCAGGTAAAGCGCATTTTTTTAAACGCCCCTACCAAATTTCTTCCATAAATAAGAAAGTTGGCACTGCACATCCTACACAAAAACAAATTTGGAAAATGGCTCTACATTAATTGCTGTTATTCCAAGTGGCTATGTATCAAATTTCATTTAAAAGCCTCCATAAATAAGAAAGTTAGCACTGCGCATGCGCAAAACCAAATTTGGAAAATGGCGCTACATTTGCTATTATTCCAAGTGGCTATGTATCAAATTTCATTTAAATGCCTCCATAAATAAGAAAGTTGGCATTGCGCATGCGCAAAACCAAATTTAGTAAATGGCGCTACATTTGCTTTTATTCCAAGCATGCGCAAAGTCAAATTTTGAAACTGGCGTTAAATTTGGTTCTATTCCAACTGGCTATGTAGGTATCAAATGTTATTTAAATGCCTCCATAAATAAGAAAGTTGACACTGCCCATGCGCAAAACCAAATTTAGAAAATGGCGCTACATTTGCTTTTATTCCAAGTGGCTATGTATCAAATTTCATTTAAATCCCTACATAAAGAAGATAGTTGGCACTGCGCATGCGCAAAACGAAATTTTGAAACTGGCGTTAAATTTGGTGTTATTTACTTGTAGATACTTTCTTTTGACAATTCACTCTTAAGATATAAGGAAATATAACCAATCACGACAAGGGATCGAGGAGGAAGACTATGGTTAGTATAAATTAATTCCTTTCGTTGAGCCCTTCATTAGAATACGATGCAAGATAAAACTAGTTCCACCCCCCCCCTCCCCTTCTCCCTCTACTCACTGATCTCGAAAAAGAGGCGCACGGGAGAGTTATAGTTTGTACAAACCAATTTATTTCGATGAGACTTCATTAGAATGCCATGAAGGGCAGAACATGTGCCCCCCCCCCTCCCATTTTCTAAAGCTTAACTTTGCACTAAAGGCATGCGTATGCAAAATCTGAGACCAATTGGTTATCGTATGTAAATCGAAATAAATTGGTTTGTGCAAACTACAACTTTTCCGTGCGACTCTTTTTCGAGATAAGCGAGCAACGGGGCCTGAGAGGGGAGGGGGGTTAAAATAAATGTTATCTCTCATTGTATTCTAATTAAAGGTCTCAACGAAAGGAACCGTTTTATACCAACTACTGCTCTTCTTTCGGTCCTATTATCAAAGTACGGGGTGGTGGGGAGGGGGGAGGGAGTGGAACTAGTTTTATCCTTCATGGTACTCTAATGAAAGGTCTCAACGAAAGGAATTAGTTTCTACCAACCATAGCCCTCCTCCTCGACCTCTTATCGTGATCGGATACATTACCTACAGAACGGATTGTCGGAAGAGGGTACTCACAAAGGGCGATTGAGACGTCTGCAAGAAATATATCCATTGGTGATGTCAAAACAAAAGCTATTTCGCTTTATATGCACAAGAGTTGTGCACAATTTATACTTGTTTGAGTCTTTGGTGCAACCTCATCCTCCACGACGAGTAAAATGTCACCTTTTTCTCTCACATCGGCCTCTAAACCCGTGCCTGACGCCGTAAGCCACAACTTGAGTGTTTTTCCCGAGCTACAAAGGTGGGAGGAGGCGTCGTCCCAAGGTGTTCCACAAGATGGCCGACGGTAAACTTCTGGAAGCCAAAATGGCGTCGATCGCCGCTTATGTGCTTTAAACGTTCTGGTAGGTTCATAAACGAGTTGTAATTCTTAGAGCGGATTTGCAGAGCTCGAAACTGATTAAAAAGAGTGGGTGGGTAACAGCGCTGTTCTCCTGATAAGAGCCGTTACAGTGTGTAGTACAAGACCACACGCACTATATTGACAAATTTTCCTTAGTTCCCATTAAGGCTGTAACTTTTTGGCTGTGAAAGAAAGGTAGAATATTCGAATACGTCAAATATAATTCGCTCAGTCTCAAACGATCGAGGTTTTCCCTCATTAGCGTCACTTCTTTGCAGCCTCAACATCGACATTAAAGCACGCAATTATTCGATCGACGATTCAAGAAATCCAGCCCACGATCAGCTTCGAATCCTCACCGGATCACGCGAACCTAGTCTTCTCGGAGGGCGAGGCGCCCCTAATCAACAGTACGGAACCCGAGGGCGACGAATTGGCAACGTCGCCTCCGTACGTGAAAGCGCCGTTGGAGGACAGATCGAAATACGAGAAGCTGACGCAGAACGTTTACGATATCAGTTCGGGGGACAGCTCGAACGAGGAGAACGTAAAGCTCGACAAGGGCGCGCGCAAGAAGCGGAAGATCAAAAATTTGCCCGAGAAATTGCCGATCGTTCCGATTATGAAAAGTTTGATATCCGAACGGTCGGGCAAGAGCGGCGAGAAGCAGGTGCGGATAAAGACGAATGTCAAAGACGTCGACTCGGACGACTCTATCGGTTCGGCGAGCGATTTGCGTGTCGACGAGGACCGAGTCGCGAGTAAGGCGGACGCGTTAAGCGAGACGATCAGTGAGAGTATTCGCACGTGTGGGTCCTCCGCGTACCATGCCGAGTGCGAAAGTATGGCGACACACGAAGACGATGCGGTCAGTCGCATGATACGATTGCAGAAGAAGCAGAAGAATTTGTTAAATGAGAACGGCGAGGATGCGCTGTTCGTTGGCCATCAGTACGGCGAGAAGCCTTTGCTTTTCGATGACGAGCTGGACTCGGACTGCGAACCGAAAACTGACAGGCAATGGAGGATAGAAAAACCGAAACCGGACTTGTGGATTGAACCAAAGAGTAGCTTGGAGGAGGCGGATGACGTTTTCGCGTTGGCGCCTTTCCAGAAATTTCACAGGGAAGACACCGCAGACTGCGTAGAAAACCCCAATTATTGTCCCGTTGTTTCCTCCACACCGACCGATGCCTATAATAACCTAAACCCTTTCTTGGGCACCTTTACGCCATCTTTGGTAGTAAACCAAAGCGAATCCGCTTACGGAATCGTCACCGTAAACTCCAACGTGATCAACATCGAGGTCCCCTCCAGCACCTGCAACTACTTTCAACCCCGAGCGCAGCAGTTCCCGGTCAACTTCTCGGATGGTACGACATCACCGGCAGATGCAGAAAAGTATTTCACCGAACTGGAAGGTCCTCGCACTCAGGAACCCGAACCGGCCTATTTCAATAACGAAAACGAAGACCCGATCGTTGAAGTCCAGAAATCGAAGAAGGATAAGAAGAAAGACGGCAAGTCCAAATATTATTTAATACAAGAGCGAACTTCGGACGAGGGTACTGAGGTGTTAAGGCAGGCAAAAGGCGCCAAAGTCACCAACAGCTACAGGAAGGTCGGCAGTAAAACGAAGAAGATCGGGAGCAAAATCAAAATTCAAGCGGGGTTTAGCAATATGAGCTTCGAGGATTTCCCATCCGACGAGGGGGAGAAAAAGACGTCAGTAATGCCGTTCGAGGTTTTGAGGGAGCCCGAGCAGGAAGACAAGAAGTATGGCAGTTTGAAGAAGATCAGTAATCCGTTCTCTTGAGGTACGTCTACTATTTTTAGGTCCGTTTATAAAAGTATTAAGGAGTCCGATTAAGTGAGGTTATGGTACAAAGAGGAGGAGGGCGGCCCTCTACGTTAACAGTATTTTTTTGGCAGCGCCTGTATTTTCTTAGTGTTTAATGCGAACAATGCTAATCGGCCACATTGAGGCTCGCCGCGCAAAAAGTATGTGGACACAGGTTTAATATCGAATAAAGGCATGTTTAATTTTACGTTATTTCATAAGAAAAATTTTTTCGGGGTGCTCAAGCTAATTTTGTGACTTCCAAAGTGAAGGGTTACACGGCCATTTTATTTGCGCGATTGCCTTCCCTGTAAAACAATCGGATTAATTAAAGTTGCTGCTAGTTTCAATTGAATGGCGTTTTTACCATTACGTTTCGACTGATTCGCGGATGCAGACAGACATCTGATTAGTTACAAACAAATGAATCAATAAAAATTCAAGTTGGCGGAAGGGGTCATTTTAATAAGGCTATAGGGTAAGCTGCAGCGCGAAAAAAAATTAAACGTGCTTTTGTTTTATAGTCCATTGGACAGTTATTTTTTTATCAGGCTCAGCTCTACATATTTTTGCGCCGACATCAGGAAGTTATTCCATTATGTAATTAGATGGGGAATAGTATGCAATAATTATTCGATTAGTTAGGTGTACGAAAACGATGCCTTGCCAAATAGATTCGAGCGTTAGTTGTAAATACACGCGCATCGATTATTCTTGTGTCACGTGACTAATCACATTTAGATTTTAAGTTTTGCACTGAATTTGACCATTCCTAAAGTTGCCACTTCTCTGAATCGGAAAGTCGCTTTAATCACAAACATGCGTCCGTGGATTTCTGTATGCGTACAGAGTTACTATTTACTAGCTTAACTGCGTGTGATTAAAGCGAAAGTCTCTTAATTTTAAGCTAGTCACTTTAATGTAGTGGTTTTTGGCTGAAACATACATTCTTTTACCATACGTAAGGTTTAGTTTTTAAGATTTTTGTAACCATTGAAGAATTTTGTACATTTTGTTAAATTTGTGCGTCGTAAGGGCGGATAAAAGTTATTTATTTCTGTATTTTAAACGGTGTTGCTTGTTATATTGAAACTTATAATGAAATCCTGATAGTAGTACTGCTATAGCATCATTTCGCTGTACTTTGAAGTAAAAAAATTTTCCACTGCGCATCTCGTTCAAAATCTCAGTTGTGCTTGCGCGAAACAGTATTCTCTATACAGGGTAAGTCCAATTTGTGTTTTGAGGATATCAAAATAGAATAAAATATATGATTTATTTTGAACTTGTTGGTTTTAATACACCTATTAGTTTGAATAAAAAAAAATTTTGGAAAAATAATTTAGATCTATTTGGATACTTGTACAGGGTGTCCAATTTTAATATACTACTTTTTCAGATTCAAATATACAAGACGTTCTATTAAAAAAATGAGGTTAAATCTGAACTTTTTTACCTATATACCTATATACCTTCTCTATACAGGGTAAGTCCAATTTGTGTTTTGAGGATATCAAAATAGAATAAAATATATGATTTATTTTGAACTTGTTGGTTTTAATACACCTATTAGTTTGAATAAAAAAAAATTTTGGAAAAATAATTTAGATCTATTTGGATACTTGTACAGGGTGTCCAATTTTAATATACTACTTTTTCAGATTCAAATATACAAGACGTTCTATTAAAAAAATGAGGTTAAATCTGAACTTTTTTACCTCATCCCGTATATATTCCTAAGTTTGACTAAAAACATACATGACGCCATTTGATTGCACTAATAATTACAGAGACGGTACCCTAGAAAAATATCGAAAATCGGACACCCTGTACGCCAAGGGAAAGTAGAAATTTTATGAAAATTGGAGATTCAAGTTTAAATTGAAACCGTTAAAATTTCGAATTTTTCAAAAATGTTCACATTTTGGTTTTGCTCAAAACCTAAAATTTATTTTTTGAAATTTTGTAAATCCAAATCAAAATGATGAAAATTCGCGATCAACACCGATTTATAAAAATCGACATTCCTGTTTTATCAATTTGCCAATGCAAAAATTTTTTGTTTAAAATTTTCGGTTTTTTTAACGAAAAGTTGTGAACATTTTGACATTTATGACAAGTTGCATCAAAATCAGACTTTCCATAAACTTCAACTTTTTTGAAAATTGTTTTTTTTATACATGTACCACTTCTTTCAACTTCTAAATTGTAACTTAAGCTTTCCGTTAATTGTTTGTATAGGACTTACTTGAATTTAGGCGTTTTTTTGGTAAATTTGCATTTTTTCAGATTTTTTCTGGGAATAAATGCCCTTTTTGATTAGGGTACAATTTTTTTTATTAATATTTTTCGTTCTTAATTCAAATTTTTCAACAAAACTAAGTTTTAGATTTTGTCGTTTTGTTTCATTGGTCAATTTTGATTAATTGGATCAAAATTCTTGACATGAATTTTAGCTTTTGTGATAAGCCGAAATGTGAATTTTGTCGATTTCAAATTTTAGAATTTTTTCTTCTAAAATTTTAGAATTTTTTCTTCTAAAATTTTAGAACACCCAAAGATAACAAAAACCCAAAATCTAAAATTTTCCGTAATTTTTACATTTCAAAAATTTCAAAATCCAAGAATCTTGAATTCCATACAGAATTCTTCCATATCCCCGAATTCCCAAAATCAAATTCCCAAAATGTTGAGGCCCATAAAAATCTTTCAAAATTTAAAATGGCCATACCTACTACTTAACCTCGAATTCCCAGAATCAAATTCCTAAATGTTCAAAAATCCCAAAATGTTAACTTTTAAAGCTCCCTAAATCTCAAACTCCCAAAATGTTCATACCAGAATATCATCATGATTATCAATATCTCAAAACTACAAAATGTAAAATATCTATAATTTCAAATTTACGAACTCCCAAAGTTACACAAATCTCCAAGATCACAAATTGACAAAATTTCAAAATCTTAAATTTCAGAAATTTTAAACTAAGTACACAAATCTCAAAGTTTAAAAAATTTCAAAATCTCAAAATTTTGATTTCTCCCAAAGTTGCAAAACTCTCAAGATCACAAATTCACAAAATTTCATAATCACAAATTTATATAGTCTCAAATTACCAAAGTTTCTAAGTCTAATTTTAAAATCCCGAAATTTCAAAAATCTCAAAACTGAAAAACGCCAAAATTCCGAATTTCTATGGTCTCAACAAAATCAAGTTCCAGAATCTTAACACTTTCAAAATTTTAGAACTCCCAAAATTAAAGGGTCTAGAATCTCAAAATCTTATGCTCTACAAGTTTTTCAAAATTTTAAATTTTCAAGATTTCAAAATTTCAAAAAACTCATTCTGAAAAGTCCAAAATCCCAAAATTTAAAAAATTGTGAATTGCATAAAAAAATTTCCCAAAATTGCAAATATCCATAATCTCAAATTCCTAAATCTCAAACTCCCAAAGTTTCAAAAATTTCAAAATCCCAAAATTTTCAATTCCCAAAATATTTATTTTATTTATTGTTTATTTTTGTCAACAGTTAAAATGTCGGCCTCTAATCCTTAAAATCATAAATTCATAACCTCGAATTCCCAAAATCATACATTTCTAAATGTCCAAAAATGTCTATTACCTGAAATTCCGTAAATCTCACACTCTCAAAGTTTCAAAAATTCCAAATTTCTCAATTCCCAGAATATCATCTCGAATTACCAATATCTCAAATTTACAAACTCTCACAAATCCAAAGATCAAAATTTTATAAAATTTCAGAATCTCAAATGACCAAAGTATTTAAGTTCCAGAATATCTCAAAATTTAAAATCTCAAAATCTAAAAATGTAAAAAATCAAATTTTCCCAAAATCTAAACTGTCCATAGCCTCGAATTCCCAAAATCATAAATTCCCATAATTTTGAGTTCCATAAAAACAAAATTTAAAATATCTATAACCTCGAATTTCTAAAATAATAATTTCCTTAATGGCCAAAAATCCCAAAATCTTAGATTTCAAAAATCGAGAACCAAATTCTCAAATGTCTATAATTTAAAATTCTGCCTATCTCAAACTACCAATGTTTCGAAAAGTTTCTGTCTTAAAATTTTCAATTACTAAACAATTCTCATAATTTAAAAGGGCTATAGTCTTCCAAATTAACAAAATTTCTAATTTCCAGAATATTAAGACTTCCAACATTTTGGAACTTTCAATATTTAAAATGTTTGTATTTTAACTAATATCATACTCCCGAAGTTTCAGAGATCCCAAAATTACAAATCTAACTCAAATTTGCAAAATTTCAAGATCACAGAACCATTAATTTCCAAAAATCCTGTAATTTAAAATTTCAAAATCCCAATATCTCCTTACAGATGCATATCTCCCATCTGGGCGCAATCCCCGAGCGTTGGTTTACTAATTTGGTGATTTTTCTTTTTTTTCTACCTTCAACAGTTTTGGTCAGATTGTTTTCAAATTGGTGTCGTCGGAAAGATGCGGGTGAACGGGACATTGGAGGTGCGTACCCACAAAGGGAATATAGTAGCCCCTGATAAGATTTTACTGATGGTGTTAACAAAACTGGCCAATAGAAATACTGATCTGCCACACAAAAATGCGCTTCGATCTGACATGAGGACTTTGATAATTGATCCCTTTACTAAACTTTTTCACTCAAATGACTTTTACCTTAGCAACACAAATATTATCCGACTGCTAACAGTTTTCTTTATCGCAATCGTACTTTTCCACGGGATATTAGAGTATCTTTCGTATGACGGCGATACTTCGTTAATGTTCATTGGTTTACCAACTCTATGGTAGTCCACAGCGAAAGCTGACTCAAAAGAATTTTACCGCGGGAGTCAATGAGTGTAAACAATAAAGGTAAGTCCAAGGTCGCGGTTTTATTAACGAGTTCCTAAGCGAGTTAATGAATTTATACTTTTTGTCCGCCCGTCTCTGTAGATGATACTCGCGAACGGTTTCGATTTCTGTTTTCAGTATTATCATCACCCAAGGAAGAACTGATTAAATTTTCAGTAATCCAGGAGCTCGTTGCTATATTCGTTAGCAGTTTATTTTGTCGAAAATTAGCGCAAAATGCCAATGTGAAGAATTTAACGAACGATTGGTCAACTTGTGAAATATCTGCTAATTACATGTTAACCCACAATTTAACTATAAACTTTACATTCGAGAATAATACGTCATAGTTCTCGGAAAGATTACGTCACATTCGCTTTCGTACTTTACCGCCGATGACTAATCTCATGGCGCCTTGATCTCTATGGAAATATGCTGGAATGTTCGCTACAATATAAACTATAATACGTGTCACCCAAACAAAACGTGGGCACTAATTTCTACAAACAGTTCGTCTTTAAAATAAGAATATGTGTGTGGTACGCAAATAGGCTTTACAGATGGAAAAAATAAATTTTACAACCGACACCAGGCTCAACATTTTTGGGGGCCCTGTATAGTTTCGTCTATATATATATAGTAACTTTTTCTGTTTGGGGAAATTTGTCTATGTTTATTCTGAATGTAACCTCAATTTCGAAAAAAGAAATATAAATTTCCAGAATGGATTCTTTGCCTTCCGGATTATCAAATACTCAAAAAGATGAGCTTATGGATCAAGTAAAACAGCAAATCGCCGTGGCGAACGCCCAAGAGCTACTAACGGTAATCCGCCGCTGTTACATAACCTCAATTTAACAGGCCCATTTCAGAAAATGACCGAAAAATGCTTCAAAAAGTGCATAAGTAAACCGGGCACCTCACTTGATAACTCCGAGCAGGTTCGTGAAAGCTATGTCTTCTCTACTTTAATGCATCAGTTTTAGAAATGTATTGCGATGTGTATGGACCGATATATGGACTCGTGGAATCTTGTATCGCGAACATACGGTGTTAGAATACAAAAGGAACGGAACAGAATGTCGTAGTATCCAATTGAATTAGCGTAGTTAGTTAATAAAATCTGTTGGCGTTTTTAACTTATATTGCTCGCAGTTTTATTGTTAAAAAAAACCAGTTAAGTACGTGAATAAATAAACATTAAACAACACTGCACCTAGAAACAAGTCCAGAGCAGCTTTTAAATAAGTACAATGGCTCGGAATGTGAGGTTAATAGAAATAAATACTGTTAATTGAGAGAATTTGAATTCTCAGTCATGTTATCCTCACCACCGCTACGTTGTGATGAGGAAGTGTCAGCTGCTCGCTCCTCGACGTACGTTTTATTTAAATTTGCTTCGCTATCCGACATGAAGTCTTCTTCGTAACCGTCTAAGTCAACATCGAAGGTTTGCTCGATTTCTTTCATGCTCGGGTTAGTCTTAAACTCTTTACTGTAGAGGGACGGAAGTAAAACTGTGTCATTACGGGTTTTGCCCAGCTGTAAAGGAGGAAGGTCGGCTAGTGAGGTTAAACTTTTGTTCTTGAGCTTATCTGCTTTTTGCGACAACTTTTTATCACTGTCACGCTTTGTGTCTTTTAAGATGGGAGGCGAAAAGTCCTCTTGACTATCGGTATTCGAATCCTTCATCGCATTATTGACACAGTTCGACTCACTTAAGTCGAAGGTTTCGTTGAGATGAGGATGAGGATCGGACACAACACTGTCAGGTGATACCGTGACACTTTGAATATTATTGAGATTAATGTCGATTACATTTTTTTTTAATTGAGCAATTTCGATGAGCTGCTGTAAGAGGGGCAGGTTCGAGTCTTTGTTGAGCTGCGAGATTCCCAAGTCCTCGATGATCTGAGACCGGCCGTCGTACTGGTAGCCGTTTCCCGAGTAAGTTTCGGGTTCGAAAACGGAAATGGTGAAGTTGAGATCGAAGTATTCGAGAAATTCGCGAACGATGCAAAACATCGCACGACCCGTTTTCGATTCCAGCTGAGCCTTAATTTTCGTATTTTGTAAGGGTTCCTTATTTTGTACTTCTTCATTTTCGTCAAGGGCAAGAAAGATACTCGCGCGAAGTTGGGCCTATAATGAAATGAATAGGTAAGTGGTTTTCTGGGTGGCGACTAGTAAAATACCCTTATTTTTGGTAGACATCCGTTCAGTTCCAAGGTTTGAGCAACTAAATCTCTTAATTCGACATCTTCCTCGACGGACATCTTTAATACTGTTGATTGAACTTGTTCTGCAGGTATTTCTTGTAAATTTTTGAAATTGTAAACTTAAATAACCTTAAAAATAAATCAGTAGTTCCCAAAGTTTGATATATATAGTCCATTGTATACAGGGTGGCTTTTTATTATGCGCAGCATTAGGATTTTGAAACCCATGTGCCCTTAAGACTGGTTTATAATTGGCCTAACCGTAATCTGTAACTTTAATCTACAATCTTTAATCCGTAAAACTGGCATGCTCGGTTCATAATCAACCTAAAAATTGCGAACGATTCTGGGGGATTTCATTCTCACTATTGGCTCTCCAAAAAATAACCATGTCAAAGTGAAGTTTTGGTTTTTGTATACAATTGTTGAAATTCTACCTATTTATTAATTAAGTTGTTAAATAAAATCGTCGAACATGGATGTATTGGAGGAAGATATAGCAGTAGCCTCTTTCATGTTTATCATGTTAGGGATCGGCTTACAATTTTTATATTAGTAGCAACCAAAAGAAAAGGAGAAAGCGTAGATGGGGCGTTCGACCAATTTTTCAGAGACGGAGAGAGCTTGGTCACTACCATAATTTGTTTCTACAAATGAAGGGAGCAGACAGAGAGCACGTGATCAGGAAGCGTTCCTATTGGCTGTCTGTATTCTTTATTCCCTAATTTATAAAATATCACCATATTTTACGGTTATGGAATAAGTTAAGAGATTATTCCCTAGCATTGTGAACAGATACATTGATTTGTCATGTTTGAATTTTTACGGTTACGGTTATAGAATACGGTTAGGCCAATTATAAACCAGCCTTTACTTCCCTTAAACGTGAATTTGGAATGTTTTGAGAGGTTTCACCCTGCATATACAACTTACGACGATACATACATTTTTGAGAGTTGGCAACCGTGCAATTTCTAGGTGGGAAAAAGCATAATGCCTCTTCTCATGCCTATGCGTGACGTCTTAACTTGGCTCTACCGTTCAATAAAGTAATGGGGTTTGTGTAGTCCTACCGGTTAATAAAAGTGTATCCCCTTTACGGAAATGATAAGATTTGTTCAATCCATGTCAACTGCGTTAAGTTTCTCACATTAAACTTACAAAGTATCAATTATTGCATGTTATCAATACAAATATTTAAAGTTACAATAAAATATGTAAGTAAAAAAAGTGAAAATTATATTAGCGTTTTCCATTTATCAAATAAGGACGAGACCTCTAGCGGCAATAAAAAAACTTAAAAGGCTGATTAAATTTCTGAAATAAGTATAACTCTCGCCAGGAAAGATTGCCGGTCACAGCACACCTTGTGTCGATCTACGATCTATGTTTTTCTTTAGACGCGAGCGACTTCCGGAATAGGATCGTGATAATTTTGAACGTGTGATGTATGCAAGCCTGGGGAGGTCAAGGTTGGCACGCCTGCAACGGTGGGCTAGGTCGCATGTCGTTGTAAGCACGTTTCATTTTATAAATCATCTCTGTCAATATAAATATCCAAATAAAGAGTACTTATTAGAACGAAAAGTCTTTTTGTTCAACATTGACACGATACCATCCCGGAAGTCGCTCACATCTTTAGAAAAACTTAGATTGTAGACCGGGATCAAGTGTTCTGTGACCGCCAATCTTTCCTGGCGAGAGGTTTATATTAAGTGGTACGTTTAGCTTCTCTGTTGCCTTATATTTATATCCAAATGCATTCCGAGATGCATTCAGTATGATTACTCAACCAAATTAATTGAGTAATTGCAATGGCACTTCTAATTCAAGTATGAAGCGTATGTCATTTTCAAACTTGGCGTGATTCTTGTGACGTCATTCATTCGGATAAAAACGTCAGCTGCGTTTAGTTATAGGCATACCTTGTCTTATTGTACCATGGGAAAAAGCTGCCTGCGCCATCTAGAAAGCAGGAACGGAGGTTACGTTTGGTATGTTGTCTTGAATGGCGGTCGTGAACGCGTCGCTCCATAAATGTTTGTTGCTATTTTGTGTTATTTAATGCAGGTAGTAATTTTTGCATTTCTTTATATCATATTTGTGTTTTGTATATCGCATTTTATATTTTTTGTGTGTTTCAATCTTAGTTTTTGAAATTTACTTGGTTTAACCGCAATGCAGAAACATGTTTAATACAGTTATCCTTTTGTTTATAATTGTTTACGGTTTTGGTGCAATGTTTGCTTAATTTAGGTTTATGTGTTGATTACTTGGTCTTGTCCGACAAGTTATAGTCATATAAATTTTGATCATTTTATTTTAATATGTGGAAATTGCCGATTAGTTTGATGTATGTACTGACTTGTTGTTTGTAACTAACAATTTTCTCCGCGAATGAAGCAGTCACGGGGGTGGTAAAAACTAGTCAAGTTTGAGCTACGACACCTAATTCCGTGATTGTCTTCGACTTTCAACTGTAGGCTCGAAACCTCGAAACCAGGGGCGGGTTAATCTTGCAGGAGCGAGATTACGCTAATCAAGGCTCTTCAGTTTAGAATCTATGTGCGACAAATGAGTGGCGATTGAATAATTTCCACATATCTTCTTTTTAGTTAAATTTGCCTATAAGGCCATGTAATTTTCCATCTTGCTTTTAACAAAAGGACTTTATTGTACCAAAGATGAGTCACGTCCTGTGTATTTCACTCTTTCTTAGAATCTTAGTACCTGCTTACCTGACCCATAATTCCCAAAACTTGTTTTCAACCTATATATTGTACTGATCTTAACCATAGAGTAAAATTTACTCTATGTCTTAACCCACCCCAGGCTCGAAGTGAAGATGACAGATTTCACGGCAAAGTGGCAACGTTACAATCCCAATCTCAAAACAAGGTTCCCGCTCAAATTTCAAACAAAGGAATGGCACGTGATTGGGTCGTCTAAGGTAGGGCCCCCTTACGTTACACGAAGCTGATACAATGACTCGGGACCCAGTCGGGCAGGAACACTCAAATAAAACACTGTAATGTCTGCCAGTTTATTTATTATAAACTTATTCTGAAAACCCCGGAATTTGGATGTGGTACATTAAAAGCAAAGCAAGCAAAACCTAAAGAGCGCGACTTGAGAAAAACCTTGGCCTGGAATAAAACCCAAACTATGCTAATCACAAGCAAATTAAAACACCAACCACCTAAGCAGAACATGTAACACTACCCTAATTAATAAATGAATTCAAGTAGTAGGGTACGTTTGAACAGTATGCGTAGAGTATTGGTCACAACATGTCATGTACTTCCCTTTAATCGCGGCTAGAAGGCAACTCACTTTTTAGTTAGTCATTGGGTGGGGAACCATGGTTATTCGTTAGGTTTGGGCCAGCGTCTTCGCTTGATTGCCCTCCTGTTTCACGGTTATATTGTTAGGAATTGGGCCGGCATATTTGCCTATTAACCTGTAGCTCAGTTAAGATTGTTAGGGGCAACACATTCACGCATTATTGATATAAGTCCCCTTACTAGTTATTCGTATCATTGTATATCGAATGGATTGGTATGAAATTTGTAAAAACATGTCTGATCTATTATTCATGTTCTGACGTAACAATAGGAGTTATGACAATACACAGTGTGCTCGTGGAGCCCTCAATTATGCTTAGTTTCCACATAATGACATTGGTATAAACCCCAGACTTCCGGAACTACTACCTGTGCTTCGTAACACCCCTGACATCGGTCACGTAACGACACAAAACTGAAGATGGTTAAGAGATGGGTCGCCGCCCATGGGTAGGACGGCCTTGGTTACAGCACTTCGTCCCTAAAGTTGGAGATTCGAGGGCCCTCAGATCCTTTTATGCCTTAGCTCTAGAATACCTTTCTATTCTAGCGTCCGAGCTCCCTCTCACGGTAGAAAGATATGAGTTACATACAACAAGGCACACGCATTCGCGAATGTTACGAGTCACCCAAAACTAAATACACCTAGCATTGCATGCCCTACTTCATTTGTGCACCGTGTAACTGAGTTAAATATGGTCTAAACCTGAGATATCGTAGACTTCCACAAGCACATGGATATTAGTTAACACCTCGCATGTTGTAAATTACATATTAGCACAATGTTAGATGGAAAATATCTGATTTAACAAATGGCACAATTCGTATCAGTACATAAGAGTAGACTAGGTACATAAAATACTTTATCCGACACCAAAGTTGTTGAATCCTACGCACAAACACCAAAAACAAAGCTAAACTCTATTAATACAACTTAAAATACAATAAGCCCACCACCAACAAGCTTTAACAAACAACAAGTGATGAACTGACTCCAAGCACTCAAATCCCCAAACATCCTCCGGAAACTACCAAAAAAATATCTAGAAAGAGGTGGAGATGGCGGTGGCTCATGTCCCCAGAATCTCCAACTACTTGACCGGTTGCATCCGACGTTGATATATACAGGGTATTTAAAGGGATATAGACATCTCAATATGTTACCTCTTGAAGTCTACCTGCTACATACTTTTTGTGATGTTATAATTTTATGTTACGCATTCACATCATTATACAAAAAATTAATTAAAAGTTTATTTTTGCAATGTAATTTATTTCGACTTATTTCCGAGCTTTCACAATCTTAATAATTGCTATCATTATTAAACAAACGTTTGAGTGTTTTATTTTACGTTCCTTCCCTACTGTACTTCAGGTCAAAGCGTTGTTTACAACTAACGTAAGGGGTCCTGCGTCCTGCCTTAAGCCGGATTTATAGTTCCGTAGCCGTAAGAACGTAAGAACGGAACCGTAAAATCTTACGTTAACGAAAATTATACGATAGTTAACGTAGTGGTAAGAGATGAGCTTGCGCATTAGTGCGAAACGAGATCTGCAATTGTATGTCATCTGTCAGTAAGAGTAACGTGCATTTCAAAACAATAAAAACCAACAAAGTGTCAATAATTATTGTAAATAAACGAAACGAACGTCAGGATAAACTCAACTGTTTGAATTATCCGAGTACTACCGAAGACAAGCGCGTTAGCACGATTTACCGTAAGAAATAAGATTTGGGCATTTCCTACGTACCGTAACCGTTCTATTTAACGCAACGTTAACGCGAACTATAAATGTTCACGCGCAACAAGTAGGGTTTAATTCCAAACGTTACGGTACGGGGTTGCCGGTACGGAACTATAAATTCAGCTTTAGATGTTTGATCGCGTGCCACTGTCCAAATTTAAGCGGAATCTTGTTTAGTTTTGGAATAGTCATTCGGGTGGACATTTTTAAACGTTGCCGGGTTGACTGTATTTCCGTGTTCTTGTAGTGTGAAGTTAGCGTAGAACCTGGGGGTTAAGTACACCACAAGTTTGCTCACGATTTTGTCAATCATGATCATAAGATCACACTTCGAAAGAACATGATTTGACAATCCAAACGCGTTTGGATCCCCGAAAGAAAGCGCCTCGAGCGAAGAGTTTGTAATTTATAAAGGTCGCCATTTACACGTACGATAGATAGGCTTTCTAGGTGGCGCAGGCAGCTTTCCTCCACCTAGAAATTGCATGGTTGCCAACTATCAAACATGTATGTATCGCTTAGACCATATAGTACATGGACTGCTAATTGTAACTAAAATATGGTCAAGGACATCGCTTGGGTATGTGAGTTTCAGGGTAAACGAGTCTGTCCGAAGTTGTCCGATTAGACACTATTTGAGACTGTCAACCTATAAATTTATAAACGTCAATTAATTAATCGCCTAGATATGCCAAAAAACAAACCTATTGCTATTTGTGGACGCATAGAAGATAATCAAGAGGATTTAAAGCTTCCCGTACTACGCGGTTACTATAAAAGCTACTCTTTACGGGATCAGAATGGTGTTTACACGACTTTAGTTTACCCTGAGATTCACATACCCACGACTACAGTGCCCTCTATCCGTGACCACTCATTTATTGTATTGAAAGCATAGGGCTAATAGCAGTCCATGTACTATATGGTCTAAGATGTATCGTCATACTCATAAGTTGTATATACAGGGTGGAACCTTTCAAACTGCACATTAAAGTTTTATGATTTGTGTACTGATCACGAATTCCTAACCTATAAATGCAGGGATATTTTTGCTTAAATGTTAGGTTAGTCAATATTTATAACTAAAGACGAGCATAATCGTACAAGTACTTCTACTTAGTATTCAAACTATTTTCATAATTTCAACGTTTTTCTCACATTAATTGCCTATGTTCGGTTTTAAAATATTCACCCGGTATAAATGTTGTGGTTTTAGAATCTTTACATTACCCTGTACATGACATGACCCTGTATAACGTCCGATTTTGGGGGGAAAGACCCGGGTAAACATGGGGACGAACACCTGTAAAGGTGTGGTAACGTAAACAATCTTATCAAAAGTACAAATTCTGAATTACTAAAGGATTTTTTCCAAAATCTAACAATGGACCAAGGCGCAGCCGAAAAAAAACTGACGATCTTCTATTCGTTATCTGTAGGACTGGGTGCCATTGCAAGTATAACAAGCGGCATCGCATGGGGCCACTGGAAACAAACCTTAGATCAATGCGTCGGACGCAACTGCAGCTGCATTTTGTACGGCACGCATACTCCCACGGTATTTTTGGGCGGCAGAAACGGCGCATGCATATGGGTGACGTACGGGCCGCTAATTTACATACTGATCTCAATTGCGATGGCATGTTTTCATGGTTTTCGAGTGCTGTTTTCTAGGAAGAAAACCATAACGCGTACGGTGACGGCCAAGAATGAGTAAGTACCCCCTTGTTTTTGTCTCCTATACAGAGTGTAACGTTGTAGGGTTGGCGAGACCATCGAGCTGCACGCGGTGCAAGGCGAAAGCACCAACCCATTACCACGAGCCTTTTGGATAACGATGGCCTGCATCACGTCGTTCTTTACTATCTACGCACTGACCCACTTTTCGATTTTCGCCGACGGCTTTTTGACGACGTGCAAACAATACAGACTGGCGCTGCATCGGCAGCTGAGATTCAGCGGGACGGTCACGCCGGTCATTCACGAGCGGCTCGCCTGCACCGCAATCTTCGACTTTATGGACTACATTCAGCCAGACAGCGGTAACGCGTACCGTGAGGGTTACATTAATACGGGTCTCGACTTGTCGCTTGGAATTTCGGCGGCGTTCTTCTCGTGGATCTTATTTCTGGGGACGTCTGTTATTAACATACGGTATGCAGCTATTAAGGTTTGAAGGTTTACATGAAAATCACAGTTTTATATAAACACGTTTTTGATGCTCACATTTCGTACTGGTAGCTATACCATAAAAATAAGTGCAATTAGTATGTTAAGGAATGTAATTTTAATGTCTTTTTATAATTTATTTTTACACACTGATGCCATAAATAAAGATTTTATTTTTTTGGTACTTCATAAAAAAGTATCTTAGAGAGAGAATTGATATAGAACGCTTTGTGTGAAACCACAAACACATGATTACTCAAATGCTCACTCACAGTAATCCTAGAGCTAAATCATTACGTATCTAACTTAGAAATAGTTGACCCGGGCAGTGAGCCCACTACTGGATGATACCTAGTAATTGGTGACCTTCCTAAGTACTACTATGTCACATCACAGAATGATTTCTTTTGAAATAATCGTGTAAAGACGCTGTTTAAAAGGATTATTTAAATCCAAGGACCGATATGAGCCCACTTTGACTTGAGTTCAGCGCATGTGCCCACTCCAAGGCAGAATTTTTGTGCGTAAGAAATGACATGATTATATTATCAGTAAGATGTCGCCCTATGCTTGATCTAACAATTATTACCTCCATGGAAAAAAGCACCGTATGCAGTTTGATTTGTTCGTCTCATGCGGATTGCAGAGCTTAGCAATATGAGACTTTAGGGGCCCTCCAATTAACTTTTCCTCTATTTTAAATATGTTTTGCTTGAGCGATAATCGACTTTGCTGTAGTTGATTTATTTTTTCTATTTGTCTGCTTAAGCCCTAGCGCACATGGATTGACCGTTCTGCAACTACAGTTGCAAACCAGTTGCGCGTGCAACTGTTTTGTGATCTCGACAATGTATTTATGAGTGGGAAAGAGCACACGACGCGTTTTTCCACTCCAATACATTGTCGAGGTCACAAAACAGTATTTGTTGCACGCGCAACCGGTTTGCAACTGTAGTTGCAGAATAGTCGCTCCGTGTGCTCTGGGGCTAAGGCGTGTATCACTGCCATTGCAAAGTCGATCCGATGGTTTCTCTTGATATCCACAACAACATCTTTAACACTTTAAGTATTTATACCTTGTAAGGAAAGAGGGCGCTACAGAATGGGTCATTCGATCGATTTTTAAGAAATCTCTCTTGAACACTATATACCTCCAGTAATTCAATTTGCCTTGAAGGCAGCGCACAGAACTCACGTTTAGGTTTTACTTTCTGTGACATTAGTTCAGGCAAGAACCTTTACCGTTTAGTTTACTCAACAACCACGATGACCTTTCAGTGACAAGTTCAGGCAAAAACCCTAGTTAGTTTGGACAACAACCATGATGACCTTTCAGTGACATTAGTTTAAACAACAACCATGATGTGATGACCTTCCGTGACATTCACTTGGTGTATCCGCAGTAACTCAAATGACCCTTGGAGCTGGCGCTTGCGCAAAACTGAAAGTCAAAGTGTTCCCATATCGGTGTTACTATACTAGAATTGCAGAACACCTGCATATTCTCAACGAAAATTCAAATTAGAAGTAGCTAGTACCTACACGTATGATATATGTTGAGCACACTACTGACTACAATACAATATGCATATTATATATACCTACTCGATGCAACATGGTCGCCGATCTTAACAACCAATAAAAAATTAGACACTGTATTTGCTGTCATCTTATCATAATTCGCCATATTGGGGCGAAAAAATTGTTTGATTGTAGGTTCAATATACCTTGTCATGTCAAGTTGTGACCGTATAATAATAAACGTCAGTTACATTTAAAGATTCTCGTTAAAAACTAAGTGACTGTACACTAGGTGACTTAGCAGCGCTGTATAACCACGCTGCTGAGAAACAAGGCGGGACACAGTCCAATGCTATTGAGCAGCGCGACCGAGCTGCCTTAAACCGGCGACACAGTCACACTGTCACATCAGTACAAGATAGATTTCGAAGAGGGCCTGCTGCTTTTCGCACTTCTTGTTGTGAAACAAAAAGAGAGTCGAAAAAAACATCGAAAACGCCGGTATTGGGTGCAACCTTGAGAGGTTCCACCCTGTATTTAACTTACGACGATGCACACATTTTTGACAGTTGGCAACCACGCAATTTTTAGGAGGGCAAAGCCAAGGTTAGTAGAGTGAGTAGGTTGCCTCGTAACTTTAGAGAGACGCGTCATCGAGAATCAATTTTCGTTGACTTTGACAGTTATATTTGAACTGTGTAAGTACTTAATTGTCAGACAGTGCTGAAGACCTATTATGAATACTTATTATAATTCGATTGAATACTCACTGTGGGATACTTAAGTATCAATATAGGGTATTAGATCCTGGATGGAAATCTTTGTGACGTTGTTATATGCAATAGCAGCTCCAACAAATCGAATGTAAATGGATTGCAGATTCAGTTTTTTGCTTTTCCAAAAGGTAATTCCTGTATTACAAAAAGAATGGGTTATAAAGTGCAATGGAAAGGGGAACCTGAACCCTGTATGCAATAGACTGTGCAGTCTGCATTTCCCGGCCGAAGACTATGATGATGAAATGCAAGCTATTTTGAATAAAGTTCATTTCCGACAGCACGTTTCTTTCTATGCAATGCAGGATCTTTTCAGCACATCCATGTAAAGTACCATTTCGATCCATTTTGCATTTTTTGACCTTGCTCTGTTGTTGTTGCGTTAATACATAATTTTTATGATGTGGGCTAAATAGGATTCTGGGTGACTTCATTCGCGTATTTTAATACTGAACGTTTATTGGTTGAAAGTTACGAGGCAACCTACTTTCTCTATTAACCTTGGGGGAAAGCGATTTGTTGATATTTTGTGTTTTTTAATACAGGTAGTAATTTTTGCATTTCTTTATATCATATTTGCCCCATTTTATTTTTTTGTGTGTTTCAATCTTTGTTTTTGAAATTTACTTGGTTTAACCGCAATGCAGAATTACATGTTTAATAGCGTTATCCTATTGTTTGTAATCGCTTACGTTTTTGGTGTAATGTTTGCTTAATTTATGTTTATTGATGTCGATTACTTGGTCTTGTCTCTGAAGTTACATTCATATAAGTTTTGTTTGTTTGTTACTAACAATTTTCTCCGTGAATGAAACAGTCACAGGAGTGGTAAAAACTGTAGTCAAAATTGAGCTACGACACCTAATTCGGTGATTGTCTTCGACTTTCAACTATAGGCTCGAAACTCTGAAACCAGGGGCGGGCTACCTATCCTGCAGAAGCGGGATTACGCTAATCAACGCTCTTCAGTTTAGAATTTGTGTGCGGTAAATGAGTTACGATTCGTAATTTCCACATATCTTGTTTTTAGTTAAATTTGCCTACAAGGCCATGTAATTTTCCATCTTGCTTTTAACAAAAGGACTTTATTGCACCAAAGACGAGTCACATCCTGTGTATTTCACCCTTTCTTAAAATCTTGGTACCTGCTTACTTGATCCATAATTCCCAAAACTTTTTTTTAACCTATATGTTACCTCTTGAAGTTTACCTGCTACTTTTTGTGATGTTATAATTTTATGTTACGCATTCACATCAATACAACCTATTAACTTTACTACGCAATTTAATATTAATTTGACGGCTGATTTTTTTTTATTGGTAAGTTCTTTTTTTTGCCAGCCTATTTCTATTTTGATTCGGTGAACTTCGATTTTCTAAGCTAATTTTTGAAATGTAATTTATTTCGACTTAAATTTCCAAGCTTTTACAATCATAATAATTACGATCATTATTAAACTAACTTTTCACAATTTCAGTGTTTTATTTTACCTTCCTTCCCTACTGTCATAGCATTGTTTACAACTAACGTAGTGGGGCTCTGCCTTAGATGTTTGATCACGAGCCACTTTTCAAATTTAAGCGGGATCTTGTTTAGTTTTGGAGGGAATAGTCATTTCGGTAGCCATTTTTAAACGTTGCCGGGTTGACTTTATTTCCGAGTTCTTGTAGTGTGAAGTTAGAGTAGAACCTGGGGGTTAAGTAGGTACACTACAACCTCTTTTAAACAGTATTAGAGATATTTAAGGACTTCGTCATACTGTATATAATGATTAAGAGCTAGTGGCGACACGAGTCTCGTTCATTTTACTTTACCCCCCTCCGACAATCCGCTCTTGAGATATACCTAAGGGATTATAACCGGTCACGATAAGGTGTCGAGAAGGAGGACCACGGTTGGTAGAAATTAATTCATTTCCTCGAGACCTTTCACTAGAGTACCATGAATGATAAAAATCAACGCTCCCCTCACCGCCGTTTTGATAAGTGGTAAGAAAGAAGAGCGGTGGTGGGAAAGAACAGTTGATGAAACATACAATTTATTTGTATTTATTTTATTTCCGCATTATTGCGGTGTGAAGTTAGCGTAGAACCGAGTGGTTACGAACACTACAGTAACTTAAATTATTTTTCGCTTACGTAATCACGAAACAATACGTCACGTCACCCTTCGTTCTACATTTTGTATTCAAAAATTGCGCGCGGTTTTAACCAAATTTTTTTGGTACTTTTACCATTGAATTTATAACTATCAGAAGCGCAGATCCCATATAACAGTTTGTGACCATGTGCCAACTGGCCGCCGCTAGGAGCAGTTCGATCGTTTGAAAGTCCGTGGGCGATCGAAAGTGGAGCGTTACATTGACATTAGATGGCAGCATTACAAACCATTTATTTTGACCATTCGAATATTTTCCTTTTTAATCGTCAGATGTCAGGAACTCCGGATGTTTTTTGTGTTATCATTGGAATGGTTTTATAAATAGGATTGGAATGTTCTAAAAATAGATCCCTTAAGAAGCATTGCGTAAATTTGTAATGTAAATAATAATACATTTAGACGAACGAAGCTTGCAGTCCTTGTCCTTGAAGGAATGCAATTTCATACATTCTATTCACAGGCAGTAAAATAGGCAGGTTCCATATTTTTACTGAAAGCGGGAGATTTTGTTATTAAAAAACGATCAAAAAAAATTTTAAGGCAAAATATTGTCCGTTGCAAGCAGGCAGCTACATCATTTCCACATTCACATTTGATAACTAAATTTCTCGAATCAGCTTTTTTTATAACCATGCAGCATTGTGCACAAATAAATCGGTCCCAGTTTACGTGAATTCGTATACCTACTAGAGCTGAGCGATAAATGAAATTGTTATCGATTTATCGATAAGTCTGTTCAGTCTGATAATTATCGATTAATCATTAATTGATAACTATCGATAATTATCGATAACTTTAATCACTTATCGTTAACTTTCGATAATAATCGACAATTATCGATAAATCGTAAGGCTAATTTTCGATAATGATCGATAACGTTTGATAATTATCGATAACTTTTTATAATTATCGATAACTTTTTATAATTATCGATAACTTTTGAAAATAATTAATAATGATTGTTAGCTGCTGATAATAATCGATTATTATTGCCACGAAAATTGTCTATCTCTGATATTTATCGATTAATAAATAAGTAGCGGAAATTATCAAGAGAAAACTATCGATACTTTTTCATAAATCTCATCGATATATATTCTCAATCGATATATTACATCATCCATGCGTACACTCGCTAACATTTTTGTTTTTTTGGTATTGATATTGCGAGAGATAATTTAAATAAAACAGGATCTTTTGATGCTCAAGTTGTCTGAAATCAAAGGTGATCAAGTGGACGATAATCCTCAAAAATGAGTACAGCAGTAGGTTGTGAATTGTGATCATATGGCAACTCAACAATGCTCTTACATCGCTTTTGTTGGAAGTAAACTGGTATACCTAAACATTGAAAAGTTTATGTCGTTAAAAATTCTCTCGATAATTATCTATCTTAATAGTTTATAGTTGTGAGATTAATCGATAGATTATCGGTAATTATAGGTTTATCGACCAATCCTTTAACATTTTCGATAAATTACACCGGTCTACAGCATTTTTGCGCATGGGACATATATACCTTATTTTTATTGCTTCTATAGCCACAAATAAGAATTAGAACAAAAATGGATATGTATTTGTTTTTGTGTGAAAAAAATGCAAAAAACCAAAAAATAAGAATACCTATAGAATCCTACTTACATAGGCATGATTTATTAAATGGTAACGTTTCTACATTTATAATTTGTTTATCTTAGAGTCTAAATGTTTAAAAATGGAACAGTTTTGCTGTTTTTGTCATGTTCAACTGAATCTGATCTTCCATCATGCTTCCAACTTCCTGGCCTTGGGAAGGTGCCTAAGTTCGATTGTCTCGAGAAAGTGTTGTCCTTATTCCGAATAAGGTCCCATATTATCCTTAAATTGATCTAAATGAGAATGTAACCTGTGCATCTTTATTCTTTAGAGACATTCTATACCCCATGATACAAAACCAAATCCTGTCAGCTCGTCATAATTTTCAGCTCTATGGTTTCCCAGGAAACACTGAACGGGAAACCATGGACTATTGCCTTAAAACTGTTCCAGGATTTTTTTTCCTCTTTGCTAAGTAACCGCGGAAAAATATCACCCTCCATTTTTCTTTTTTTTTTTAGGGAAAACAAAGATTCCAGCTTTAATTTTCGCCCCTGAAAGCTTTCAATCAAATCGCTGTAACTTTTGTAAAAGCAAATATTTTCGATGTCTTAATCGCACTTTTTATTTATTTTTGCTTATTATAGTCAGAATATATATTGTGTAAATCCCATGCGCAAAAAATTCTTTTTTTGTTGACCGGTCGACCATTTTTTTTAAATTTATCGATTGACTATCTATTAATCGATAATTATCGATAAGTTATCGATTAACCATTGAGAACAAATTTCAAACGTCAGAATTTAAAAGAAAAGAGGTTAACGACCTTTTTATTTTGTATCAAAATTGCCAGGTGTGACGTGTGATCCTAGATCAGGGGTCGGCAACCTGCGGCTCTTTTGATACCTATAAAGTTGCGGCTCTCCGTATTTATCTAAAGAAATTAGTTCATTTGTTCGAAATTCGCCTTTTTAATTAATCTTATTTTGTATCAAAAGTATACTTGCAGCAAATAATTATCTAATTTTTGACACTTGTTTACTTTCTGGTATTCTTTTGTTTTTTTTATTATAGCCAGCCTACTCCGATGTATAAACACGTAATTAATTAATGAGTAGGTACTTTTGTGAAAAATATTGAATAACCTAAACACTGCGGAGTTTAAGCACAGGGCACCCCTTATAAACATTTAAGAGAAGACAAAAGCGAATAGCGAAATAAAATAGTGGTAGTTCCATTTGAAAAAGAATAGTTATAGCACTTTGAACAAACGGCATTGAAACAACCAAATATTCAGGATGTTCTATTTAAAAAGATCAGTTATTAATTGACATCGTAAAAATGGAACACCCTGTACATTCAAAAATAATTTCTGTAGATCCGCAACCACCAATATTTTTACCAGGTATCTATCAGCTATGTAGGAAAAACCGACGGACTGTTGCAGGACCCTGTATATAGCCAAAAACTATAATATTGAATCAAAAATTATTTGTGGCTCTTTAAGAACTGGGAAATTTTGTAAATTGTAATTTTTGGCTCTTCCGTTTCAATAGGTTGCCGACCCCTGTCCTAGGTAGTTTAACCGGTGGCAACGGTTTAACCGACACACACAAAAATTAAGAATAGATAGGTAGGTACATTTAATTTCTGTTACAGTGATCAAGGATGCCTGCGTATTTTTTGCTTTCCTGTTCAAATGTAATTCAATCTTCCTTAAGGAATGTTAAGTAAGGTCACGATTCATGAAAGGAAGAATGTTTATCTTACGTCATTCAACATCCTGTGTGCCACATAAATGCCTTATAAGTACGTTTCTTGGGTATCTAGAATTCTGTATACAACAATTACAAATCGAGATAGTGGGTTCATTACAGATTCCTGTATAATAATTAACAAAGGTAAAAAACTGACATTATTATTCATCTTTCTCGATGGTAGAGACATCTACGTCTTGTAATTTAAACTATTGAAAACAGTCACATATCCTGCCATTTAACCTGCGCTTCTGATAGTTATAAATTCAATGCTTTTACATTTGAAGAGCTTTCAATACTGGCCGTTCACCTTGTATATGCCACTTTAATCTATGGTAAATCTTGGCCTCCCTGATTCCACCAATTTTAAAACAAAAACCTCCATTTTGTTCGATTTGAAATAGCAGCTGAGAGATGGAGGTTGATTCTTCTGCATTTGAACCGCAAGTTACCGCTCTCGATGTGACCGAAGCAGTTCGCCTACTAAATGTGGTGACGATCATTTGTGGAAACGAACACTGCGATATTAACAAGCTGCTAGAACGTTTGGAATCGTCGACTTTCAATGAAGACATCAGGCCGATGGCAACTCGAGCTGAATGTGTCGAGATACTATCGTCGTCGCCACACTTTACGCAAACTGTCAATTTGGCAGTCACCCACATAACCGAGTCCGTGACTCGATCAATAACGGACCTCATCAACGACCAACGAGATAACACCAACGAAACCTGTCAAAGCATCACCCAGAACTGCGACACCCTTCGTAACTACTTCAAAGCCTTAGATCATATATATTTTCAAACGGTAAGCACAAGTACTCCGTTTCAATTTTCCACGAGAGAAACAGCTGTAAGCGGTTTTCTGGTGGGCCTGGTGAAATTATTACGCGAATCCGATTTTTCAATTTTGCCAAACGTAAGTAATCATAATCTGATATTGTTAAGGTAAAATTATTCTCTTTAGATACCTGTCTTGACCACAGTCAGTCAAATCGTGAAACTATTTAAAGACATTGCCTTCATACGGCCCGTGGTTCTGACCGAGCTGTGTACGAGTCTGGAAATAATGAAGGGGACAATTTTGGCGCACGAACAGTGTTTTTTATTCGAAATCGGATTTTACGAGAAACTTCTCCAGACTTTATTCATTTTGAAAGATCTCTTGTCGTTTTGTGTGCAAATGGGCGATATTTATCATTCTGATTTGTATCAATTGGACAGCAGTACGTTGGCAGCCGTACAAAAATCATTGGAAGAAGTAGTTGAGAGTGTGCCCACGTATTTAGTGCGAGAAATTCAGGAATGTATAAATTTAGTAATTCCATAATTCTTTGCTATATACAGAGTGTGTTAAATTTCAGAATTTAAGATATGTTTTTCACAATTTTTATTTTTTAGTATGAAAAGTCTGTAATAAGCTAGTCCCCCCTTTCAAAAGAACACGTTTCACCAGAAAAATAAACAAAATTTACTGTTACTCGAAAGGAAACACATTGAACCCTTGGTTGATTGAAAAACGGTTGTTTTTGGACCCCCCCTTTCTCACATTGCTTACGCACTGTCCGGTAGAGGTCACGAGATGGAAAAGGAACAGATACAGTTTACAATTAGAACTGTATTAGGTATTTTCTCCAAGGTATAAACGATAATAATAATAATAATAATGACTTTTATTAGCTACTCACAACTGAATACATGCATACGATACAAAAGAAAAACAAATTCTGTATGCTAGGTAGCTAATTGGGCGAAGTTCGACTGCAGTATCAACAGAAACTGCATTCGCTCTTCCACTTTTAGCGTAATCCCGCTTCTACAAGATAGGTAACCCGCCCCTGGTTTCGGTGTTTCGAGCCTACAGTTGAAAGTCGAAGACAATCACGGAATTAGGTGTCGTAGCTCAATTTTGACTACCTACAGTTTTTACCACCTCCGTGACTTTTCATTCACGGAGAAAATTGTTTGTTACAAACAAGTCAGTACATACATCAAACGAATCGGTAATTTCCACATATTAAAACAAAATGATCAAAACCTCGATCAAAACTTATATGAATGTTACTTCAGGGACAAGACCAAGTAATCAACATCAATAAACATAAATTAAGCAAGCATTACACCAAAACGTAAACAATTATAAACAATAGGATAACGGTATTAAACATTTCATTCTGCATTGCGGTTAAACCAAGTAAATTTAAAAAGCATAGATTGAAACACAAAAAATATAAAATGCTGCATACAAAACACATATACGATATAAAGAAATGCAAAAATTACTACGACCGCCATTCAAGACAAGATGCCGAACGTAACCCCAGTTCGTGATTTTTAGATGGCGCAGGCAGTTTTTTCTCACCTAGAAATGGCATGGTTGCCAACTCTCAAAAATATATGCATCGTCGTAAGTTGTATATACAGGGTGAAACTTCTCAACGTAGTGTCAGGTATAACAGTAATAATAAGGTTTCGTAATATAATTGCAGTTACAACTCATGAACAAATATCTAAGGGTAGGTCAATGAACTTCATGTGTAAGTTGGTACCAGGTAATGTTGGTAGAATTTAACTAAAATTTTCCAGCCGGTAATGTAGAAACATCCAACGCGTCATCCTGCGCTCTTGCAAAAATGGCGAGTCCAAATGCGGGTCGTAAGTAAAATCCAGGTAAGTACAACGTAAAAGGTAATCCAAAAGAAATATCGATGGGGAATAATAAGAAAACTATAAGCAAAGGGTGATGAAATTAAAGGTAAAACTTGAGCCAAAACCCTAAAAATACATACGCACCTGCGTCATAATGGAATCTCGTATTGGATGCAAATACTAATCCGTAAAACGAGTCGATGAAGTCACCAAGACAACAAAGAGAAAGAGATAACCACGCCAAAGCTAATTATGGTAAAGTCAAAACAAATCCCTGGTAACAGGGTTGACACGAATCCAGTAAGCGTATTGGTTACCAAGAGACACTTGCAAGTAATCAATTCGAAGGCAGACATTTTACTAAAGGGGAAAAGAAATACAAACTACACGAAATATTGAATTAAAGAAGGGATAGCCAGAAATACCAGCGAAGACACTGCACGACCTCGGTCGGCGACACAAATAACTATAGTAATAAGAAATTTATAACAACGAAAACAAAGAAACTACAGAAATAATTTACACCTAAACTAGTGGATTACAAAGAAGATACCTAGATGACGTAAGGAATACTAAATAAAACGTAACAATCGAAGATTACTTAAGCGGAAGCCAAATCGTTAATACTAATCGATAGCGTTACAAATTCAAGTAGTCAAAGAAAATATTACTATCAAAACAGGTTTCATTAGAAAACAACGGAGCTATAATCGATCGATTGTATCGAAAACCAGTAGATAATTTTTTTTAATAAATAAACGTTTAATGAAAATGTGACAACAAGTTTTTAACTTAGTCGTTACACCTAAGGACGCTACGTTCTCCAAACGGTTCGTTAATCCTAGGAACAATTATCGAAATCTAGGTCAAGAATCTTCGTCTGTGGCAGGTAAAAGTTGGTAGAATTGAAGTAAAATTTTCCAAGCCGGTAATGTAGAAACTCATCTATGGCGTGCTTGACTTGTAGAACTACCTACCCGAATGAATCTTCCTTGCGTAAAAACTCTAAAATGCGGCGGTTTCCACTCAGGAATATCGATGTAGAAAGCACAATCCGGTAGGTAATAATAAAGAAAAGAGTAAGAAGCCAAATAATGATTATTCAAAGTCAAAAGGCAAATGCGTAATTTTTGTTAACATACCGAAAACGGCCTTAGAACTTGTATAATATATCCGCAAAGCGTCAGCGAAGTGTCAAAAGCAAAATAGCAAGAGAAAACTTCACTAAAACTTATGCAGCACCAATAAAATTCCCAAAAGGCTGACAAAAATTGTGGAGTAACCGTATAATGTGTACGTCTTTATACGGGCGCCCAACGAAATTAAAGAAAACTCTGCACATCCTCTGTCGGCGAAACAAAGAACATCGTATAAAAATCTATACTAAGATTAAATTAAAAATAAAAAAATAAATATAATTACCTTACATCTAAAGCTAGTGGAGTACAAACGAAATATCTAGATGGCGTAAGAATATTAAGTAAAACGTCGAATTTAAATAAACGTGAGTAAGAAATTTGAATTAATGTTTTACCATTATGCTTATAGATTTATGTATTAGATGTCTTGCAAAAGATTTAAAGCACTAAAGTTTGCCCAATTCGAATTTCTTATTATTGGTATTATTACAGTGATATGGAGGCAAGCTGCGCCATGATTGTTTAATTAAACAATGGAGCTACTCATTCGCTTTAATTTTTTTGCAGCTAAAGGATGTAAAGGATCTAAAGGACCTAAAAGATATAAGGGATCTAAAGGATCTAGAGGATCTAGGGGATCTAAGGGATCTAGGGGATCCAAGAGATCTAAGGGATCTGAGGGATCTAAGAGATCTGAGGGACCTAAAGGATCTAGAGGATATCAAAGATCTTAAAGATGTCAAGGATCAAGGGGATCAAGTGGCGGTCCCAGCCCCCCCCCCCCCATTGTCCTTTTTTTTCATCAGATTTCTTTTATTTTTTTCCGTATTGGGACAAAGTTCGGGTTTGGGCCCATCCCTTTACCAAATCCTGGGACCGCTACTGAGGGGATCTAAAGGATCTGAGAGTTCTAACGAACTTAAGGGATCTAAAGGATTTATAGAAAAACGGTTGCGGGTAGCCGCCCACTGCAAAACTTGCCATTTTCTTCGCATGAGCTACCTAGAGATGAAGATATAGTAGCATAATTTGCTTACACCTCACAAGCGACCAGTTTTTCAGTGGTCGGCAACCTGCCATGATTGACGTGACTGTTTTTATACTAGAAGAACAATTAATATATAAATCCATAAGTGCAATTTTACAGTTTTGAAAGGTACATGTATATACTGCTGATATGGGCCCGACATTTTGCCGCTAGTACTCAAGATTAATTCTAATGCGATTGATTAATTCGTAACTGAACAAAATCGCCCTTTTCGATATCAACTGCCGATTGCCATCGACAGCCTTGTACACTAGATGAGGATGTCTAATCTTCCATGGGCCGCCTTTTTCGTATCGACGGCCTTTTTCGTATTAATCGCCGATTACCATTAATCGCCTTGCATTCTCACATGTACTTTTCGTGTTAAATAAAATTATGTTAATGAAGGCTGGAGTAGAGCCACACCATATTGATGTTTCCTATGTACATGCAATTTATTATTTTACGAGTTGTGTTATCTCAACTGATCGTACATGTATTTTGATGTGTTTTTGTACTACATTGTTTTATCATGTTTTCCACTGCATTGATGACGTCTCGTGTGTTTTGTTTTTATGAATTTGTTTAATTGCATTTGACTCGATTACCTGAGATTTTTCATACAATTTGAGATTTTTTGTTTATGTGTACTTTCTCTTGAATTTCGACGCTGTAGGTGATTTATTTCGAGTGTTTGTGTTGCCTATGCCGGGGTTTTTGTCCCGTAGAAGGTTTCGCTGGTATGGTCTTGTTGTCTGCGTAATATATTTATTTGTTCTTGTCATTTCTTACGCACAAAAGTTCTGTCTTTCATTTAATTCTCTTCTCTTGTCTCAAGTCCCAACACGTACAAGAACCGATTATACAACGTAGGGGTTCATTCGTACCACCCATATCGAGCCGACTGCAATTCAAATTCAAAAGTGCCGCTAAACGTGCATCGTTTCGACTTGAAAGGGAGATGGCTCTGCTCGTAGTGTTTCCCAGGTAAGTATAGGGTAAGTCAACGTTTTCAGTGTCGGCTTGATAGATCCCTAGGATCATTACAAACTACGAAGATTTTTTGCCCTATGAACTAACCGCCCTAAAGTATCTCATGTGTTTTTACTGTCACATCCCTGAGCTAACTGGCGGGTTTTGAGAAACAGCGATGACATCTTAACTCACGTCACAAGGTGTGCGTTGGTTAGGTTGGAAACAATTAATTAGACGTCACTTTAAAGTCACCAAATTCCAGTTCGAAGAAAATCAAAATTATCAGTGCATTTTACAAACACCCAAGATGGACAATAAAGATGACAAATTTTGGATGTCGATGATCAGGAAACATGAAAACCGTACATGCGAGTTGGAAGAGCAGCAGTGTAATCTTGAACAACGATTACTAAACCTGAAAAGAAGAATAAGTTCAAGCCACAATGACATCTGCAGCTGTTGCTCGGAATTATTTGAACCAACCCCCTCATCGAGCAGAGTAAGGACAAACGCTCCACCAGTTGCAACTCCTAAAGTCGAAGAGTGCAACGATTTATCCATCTCCCTTAACTCGATGGACATGCAGTATATTTCCACCCTTTACGAGCTAATAGATCGAGAGAAGAAGTTAAAGCAGCAAGTGCACAAGATGGAAACGCGCGAACAGGCTCTTTTGAGTAGCCTAAAACTTACAAACCAAACGTGTGAAAGTAGAAGTAGAAATTGTGGGGTAAACGACGAAAGCGGGAGAGCTATCAGTAATCTCCAAGAAGAAAATGCTCGGATAGCCGGCGAGCTTGAAGATGTAAAGTTGGAATTAAAGCACTGCATGGAGAAGTATCACGGCCCGATGACGCGGACGCTGGAGCAAGAAAGGCGACGATCGCAGCAGCTGGAGAACGACCTTAAGGCGACCGCCGAGGAAATGTCTACGAAAGAGTGCTGCTATCGCGAGGACATGTGCTGCCTCAAATCTCAAATGGAGGAACTAGCCCAAAGTCTAGCGGAGGTAACGCAGCAGAACGAAAATTTGCAGCGCCAGTTGTGTTCGATGGGTCGAAAGTATAAGGACCTTCAGCGCGACCTCATCAGTCAAAAAATCAACGAGGCCCGCACGTTGGAGCGATTAAACGAGCTCCTCTCCGAGAAGGAGCGCACCGTGGTCCGCGAGCGGCGGTTCAAGACCCAGGAGACCCAGCTGGATCCGCAGAGCGTTCCCCAGAGGGAGGAGAAAGGTAAAGCCGACGTGCCTCCGCCGCGACTCGAGCATAACCTCTACGCGATTGCAAGAAGCTTGAGCAGAAGCTTGCTGAATATTAATCAGTGTGATATTTGCAGAGAGTCCGTGCCCGAAGATTTGAAGGCTACAATTACCGGCATTAAAGTTATTACCGATATCGTCGACCGAAACAGCACGAGAAATGACGCGACCAAATCTAACGACGGAAAACCACCCGATAACGGACCTGGAGGTGGCAAATTTCCGCTGCCACCTCGTCAGCGCGACGATCCAGCCAGCGATTTCATTGGCAAGACTGATGACGACGGATATGGGGGAGATAGCGGAAGAAGCGATGGAGGAAACGACGATCTTACGGATGCGACCGATTTGCCGGCCGAGGACGAAGTGGCCGTTGTACAAATGAACGAGGACATTCGCGTACTGACCGAGGTGGAGGCGTCAGGTGACTTGCAAGTGCAGGTGGACACATTCGTTGAGGTGAGCGATGACGTTGGGGACGACCTCCACGTGACCACCACGGTTACAAGTTCGGGCATGCTGGAGGTCGTAACCGAGGGACCGGCCGGTATTATAGAGACGATAATGTTGCGAACTCCGTCTGGGAATCTCGAGGTCGTGACCGAAATAATGGACTATCCCGAAAACTTGGCGATTGCGGAGTCGGGCGACACGTCTCAGGATCTGGACACGAACGTGATCGAGGATGTGGGGGCGGAATTGGAGCGCGCCGGAGATTTTGCCGATTCGGTTTGTCAGTCCACGGAGGAAGAGGAGTTCTTTTCGGCGCACATTTTCGGTGATGGTGAGACGCAAATCGCTGATGGTATCGAGGAAAGTGGACTGTTGGAGGATGGCGTATTGGCGCCAATAATGGAGGTTGAAGGTGAGACGCCTTTGGATGAGGTGGATGAGGCGGGACCAGACGAAAGCGATAAGGTGCCTATGAATGAATTCGTCAGTAGCGGACCGATCAGATATGTCATAAGTGACACGACAGACATTGACAGGTCAAAATCGGGCCGTAAAGAACACCGAAAGAAATTTATGTCCAAAATTCCAGTATCGGCAAGCTTTCCGTACAAGGGACCGGTATGTAACTGTGGCAAGTGCGGCTGCGTCGAATGCTTCGGCAGAATCCTCGCAGAACCGCACGGCGAACGCGGCCTCGACGAAAAACCCGACTCTCTGGCGACGGGCAAGGTTTGCAATTTACCCGACGAGGTCAGCCTGTTAACGTACACCTCGGTGGCAAGTGCTCGACCGACGAAGCCCCACCCTCCGGACTGCGACTGTGTCGATTGCTTGTGCGATCCTTGCGCCTCCTTTCCCTCCGACTATGCGACCAGAATTCACCCGCCCGATTGCGATTGCATCGACTGCCTTTGCGGCGAGTTTCCGTGCGCACCTCGTTGCGCAGAACCGAAACCGACGGCCCCTGCCGAAGAAATTAAAAGTATATTTAGCGAGAAGGTTGTGAGGGAGCCAATAAGCGAAAGTTTGGCAACTCCAACAGAGCCAAGCGAGCGATCGGCACCAGTAAAAGAGACCCTCCCAGACGAAAGAGCGAAAAATGTGGATGACAATGCGCCAGACATAGCACCGTTACCAATAAAGGAGGTGGATCCGGTAGAAAGATCGGTACCGGCAAAAGCTTTGGAACCGGTACCAATAACGGAATTACCTCCGGTAGAAAGACCGGTACCGGCAAAAACTTTTGAACCGGTACCAATAAAGGAGATACCTCCGGAAGAAAGACCGGTACCAGCAAACGCTTTGGAACCGGTACCAATAAAGGAGATACCTCTGGTAGAAAGATCGGTACCGGCAAAAGCTTTGGAACCGCTACTAATACAGGAGAAACCTCCGGTAGAAAGACCGGTACCAGCGAAAGCTTTGGAACCGGTATCAGCAGTGAACGAAAATTCCTCCCCTGTGAAACAACCTCAAGGAGAAGGTGAAAAATTAAACCACAAGGCAGGTTGCGAGTGCGATTTGTGCCGTTGCTGCAATTGCGGCGAGGTTCCCCAACAGCTGATTGCACCTAAAAAATGCGAAAGCGCGTGCGATACCGGTCACCGCTCCAACTGCAGCTGCATCGACTGCCTCCTGTCGTGCGGGTTTCCAAACAAAACGAAGGAGATGCCCAAAGCAGAAGGAGAAACGCTGAGTGACGGAGGCGTTTGCGATTGTGTCACCTGCCAAGCACCGTGCGCGTCTCCCACGTGCTCGCAGATCCAGGAAGCGGCGGTGGCCGACTTACAGGTTTGTCTGGATCAGATCAAGTGCGCGTGCCTTAACGCCGAAGCCTCAGCATGTTGCGCGGAAAGCCAGTCGGGGCAGAATCTACTGACGACGTTAAGGGGGATCATGGCGAACCTGCAGGCGATGTGTACCGCCGAAAATATGGCGAACTTTGTGAATGAGTTGAGAGCGAAAGCGAACAGTATCCTTTTTAGTCAGATGCTTCCCAAGGTGGCCCCATCGCTTAATTTGGACCAGACGCAGGATGACATCTACAGCTGCGCATGCAAGGGGGAAAAGACGGACAAAAGCGGGGCGTACCTTCGCAACCCGTGCACTTGTGGTAGCGACAGTTGCTATTGTTTCGACCAAGACCAAGAAGGGAGCTGCTGCTCCCAGAACTGCGAAGGAGGTTCCATCATATCGAAAATTTCGAACGAGTCCTTGTGCAGTTGCACCAGCTACGCCGAACCCCAGCTCGTTTGCAGGCAAAACGCACCGAGTCCTCCAACATCCGATCCAGTCGAAATTACAGAGGTGAAGAAGGTGTCATCTGATGGCCTTTTGATCAAATGGACACCGCCCTCTTGTCAAGAGGTAACCGGTTACGAGGTCGTCGTCGACGGTAAACTGAAATCGAAGGTTCGCAGTGCCTTTAGGACGTCAGCGATCATTTACTCTCTCGCTAGTGGCTCTTTAAACCTGAAAGTATACGCGACG